CTGGTCCGTGGGCTGGCAATTTGACACCCCCGGTATAGAGTTTCTTGCCTAAGCAGGAGGTTGGACTAGAAGATCTCCAAGATCCCTTCCAACTCTGTCATTCTATATTCTATTCTATTCTATTCTATTCTATTCTGTTCTGTTCTGTTCTATTAATTTCTATTCTATTCTCTATTCTATTCTATTCTATTCTATTCTATTCTATTCTATTCTATTCTATTCTATTCTATTCTTTGACATTATGCTGATATTAATGAACTAATACATGTAGTCCTTAACCTACGACCACAATTGCGCCCAAAATTTCTGTTACTAAGCGAGACAGATATTGAGTTTTTCTCCATTTTACGACCTTGCTTGACACCATTGCTAAGTGAATCACTGCAGTTGTTAGGTTAACAACACGGTTGCTGAGTGAATCTGGCTTCTCCCTTTGATTTTGTTTGTCAGAAGGTCGCAAAAGGAGATCACGTGACCTTAGGACACAGCAATGGTCATAAGTATGAACCAGTTGCCAAGTGTCCGAATTTGGATCACGTGACCACGGGGATGCTGCAACGTTCATAAGTGTGAAAAACGTTCATGTCACTTTTTTTTCAGCGCCGTTGTAACTTTGACTGGTCACTAAATGCGTTGTTGTAAGTCAAGGACTTCCTGTACTCTGATCTGCCCAATAAGCAAAAACCATTGGGCTGCAAAGTTAAGGAAAACATCCAAGGTTTCTTGTGTTAAAAGGAAAAATAAAAGAAGAAGAAGAAAGCCAATCAATCAAACGCACTTAGTAAACAGCGAAGATGAAAATGAGAGATGTCTGCAGGACGTGCGCAAAAAATTCAAGCTGTGATTCCGTGCCAGCCTGTGCTCCCAACAGCTGAGTCTGAGGAATCTGAGGAGGAGGTGGAGGAGGCATTTGAAGGGCCATCAGGGGCAGAGGGAGGCTCGGATGACTTACAGGACTCACGGTTTGAAGCAGAGCCTGGGCCCTCCAGTCGTGTTCCTGATGAAGCTCAGCTGTGTGAGGAGAATGAGTCAGACTCGGAGGACTCACACCTGATGGACTTGCTAACTGATGCTCACACATGTCGTCAATTAGCGAGAGTAAATCAGCAGCAGTCAATACGGCAACTCCAGAGTAAAAGGAGAAGGCGATGAGAGGCAACGCCTTGGGACTGCTGTATAAAAAGAGGAGGTGTGGGCAGTGCTGGTTGCTGAAGGCAACCGTTTGCAAAGTGCTTCTTGGAATCCTGGTCTGTTCGTCTTGCTTGTGACTTCTCTTCTGTTTCCATCGCGTTTTCCTGCGGACTGTTTCCTTCCTTTGGACTTGAGTTTTGCTGTTTGTGTTTTGGACAATTTGATAGGTTTGTCACCCATATTAAAAGGGGTTTGTTTTGTTTTAAAGTCTCCAGCCTATTGTATCAGCAGGGCTTTGGTCTTTGTGCCTTTAACAAGGACGGCAATAGGCTGGGATAGAACAGATTCATCCTTTGGTTCTTTTCCTGAAGCTACAACTCCACTGAGCTGAGCAATAATTTTAACAACCAATAAAGCACATAAAAAGGATTTATTGATTTAACAGCAGTAGAAGAGGAACATGATATCGGGGTTAGATCATAAAACTGGGCAAATTCCAGCCTAAGATGAGATAACAAAGATGAGAGATTAGATAGGAGTTGCCCAGCCTTAGCCAATCGAAGATGGGTGGACTTCAACTCCCAGAATCCTCCAGCCAGCATGGAGAATGTTGGAAGACTGAAGAATTCTGGGAATTGAAGTCCACCCACCTTTAAGTGGCCACGGTTGAGAAACCGAGATAGAAGAGTAAAAGGGCAGAGTTAGTCTTTCAGGATTTGTACCTTGGCGGTCCCTGGGGGTCCATAAGCTGCATAGGGCTTTACTATATCTGGGTCTTCTTGATCTGTAGTGAGTTTTTCCTCAGCTTCTCTGGACAGAAAGACCTCCGTGTTGTTTTCCAGCACTGGAAAGGAAGGAAATTTTGGTGAAAGTTCCTCAGAAATTCATCTCCCAGAATTCCTCAGCCTTTGAGCAACCCTTCAAAGCTGCAACGGTGCTACAAACAAATGACTTACCATCAGTCCTCACATTTACGACTGTTGCAGTGTCCCCACGGTCATGCAATCAAAATTCAAGCACTTGACAACCGGCATGTATTTATGAGAGTTGTGTGATCGTTCTTTGCCATCTTCCCAGCCAGCTTTGCCCAAGTCGAGCTAATGGGGAAAGCTGGATCTGCTTAATGACCACCTGATTCACTTAGCAAAATGATCACAAAAAAATGGGCCTGACTCACCTAATGACCACATCACTTAATGAGAGAAGTCCCAGTAGCAATTGAGGTTATAAGTCAAGGAATACCTGTAACTCCACACCGTTGTTATTATTATCATTACCATAGTTTGAGCATTATGATTAATAATACCATTATTTAAGTCTCCTACTTGAACAGGAGGTTGGACTAGAAGACCTCTAAGGCCCCTTCCAACTCTGTTATTCTCTTTTCGCTCTTTTTTCCCAGTGCCATTGTGACTTTGAATGGACACTCAACAAATGATTGTAAATCCAGGTCTACCTGCGCTGATTGCATCTCCCTCCCTCATTCCCTTCCTTCCTTCCTTCCTTCCTTCCTTCCTTCCTTCCTTCCTTCCTTCCTTCCTTCCTTCTTTTCTTTCTTTCTCTCTCTCTTTCTTTCTTTCTTTCTCTTCCTTTGTTTTCTTTCTCTCTTTCTCCCTCCCTCTTTTCTTTTTCTTTCTTTCTTTTCTTTCTTTCTTTTCTTTCTTTATTCCTTTCTCCCTCCCTCCCTCATTCCCTTCCTTCCTTTCTTTCTTTCTTGCTTTCTTTCTTTCTTTCTTCCTCCCTTCCTTTCTTTCTCCTTCCTTTCCTCCCTCCCTCCTTTTCTTTCTTTCTTTCTTTCTTTCTTTCTTTTCTTTCCTTCCTTCCTTATTTCTTTCTTTCTTTCTCCTTCCTTCCTTCCCTCCCTCCTCTCTCTCTCTCTCTCTCTCTCTCTCTCTTTCTTTCTTTCTTTCTTTCTTTCTTTCTTTCTGGAGTTGAAGTCCACGAGTCATAAAAGAGCCAAGGTTGACTACCCCTGACCTAAAGCATGAAGCCCTTACTTTTCCAATATATATATAAAGCATCTGATCAAGCAATTAACTACAAAATAACGATTACAAAATAACAAAACAATGATGACGTGATAACACTATAAGTATCAATATTACTCATATCAACCTTAAGCATAATAAAGTCCCTTCACAACTCTGGAAAATCCACCAAAAAAAGGTGCCGGAACTCCATTCTGATGCATTCTATGACAAAAAAAGCCCTGGTCCTCCCTAATGGGAAGGTGAGAAGCTGCAAGGGAGGGGAGGTGCCTCCAAAACTCTGTCCATCACCATCCTGTCTCCCATACTCACCCACACGCACTCTGTTGGGTCTCTTTGGGTCTGGAAAGGACAGAAATACATCATACTGGATCTCTATGGCCTTGTCAAGACCAGATTCCGGGTCGCTCCAGCGTTCGAGGAGGAGTTTCACTAGATCATGGTCCCCCTTGGTGGTTGCCATATGGGGCTTGGCTGACAGCTTCCTAACAGGTGAAGGACAGACGTAGGAAACCATGTTTGTGGCATGTTTCAGATTTCAGAAACCAGCATCACTTTTTTTGCATGATTGCTTCTTTCAACAGGGAAAAAAAAACAGCTTGCCTTCCCGAGTTGTGGGTGCTCCAAAACTGGAGGTTTTTAAGAAGAGACTGGATAGCCACTTGTCTGGAAGAGTATAGGGTCTCCTGCTTGAGCAGGGGGTTGGACTAGATGACCTCCAAGGTCCCTTCCAACTCTGTTATTCTGTTTTCTGTTATTCTTTTATTCTGAAGTTGGGGCTGATCAGCCTGACCATCTCCGCATATTTTGGACCACCACTCCCATCATGCTTAGAGTATAACCAGTGGCAGGGGAGGATGGGATTGTTAGTAGAAAATATTTGGAGTTGTCCAGGAGGTTGCAATGTTGCACTTATCACAATATCTATAGTATAAATGAGTGTTTCTCAGTTTGGGAGGCTTGAAGAGATATGGATTTCAATTCCCAGATTGCGATGTTTCTCTGCGTCATATATGTGTGTGTGTGTGTGTGGGCATATGTGCATAATGCAACGAAATTTCACTTCAATATATGCTGATTAGTATACATTTAAAGTGACAATAAAGTTTTGATTCTAGTCTATTCTTTAGAAAGGCCACTGACTTCACCCACAACCTTCTCTGAGCTCAACTGATTTAAAACCTCCGAGACTGAAGATCTGCAGGTAAGAAGCCTTTGGATTCAGACAGGCGGGCCAGATTTAAAGCTTGGGTTAATCCTGATTCCAGTTAACTACTCACAAAATAGGTAACCCAGCCCTGATGTTTCTGGGAAAATAAAGTTATTTTTCTTCTTTCTTTCTTTCTTTCTTTCTTTCTTTCTTTCTTTCTTTCTTTCTTTCTTTCTTTCTTTCTTTCTTCCTTCCTTCCTTCCTTCTTTTCCTTTCCTTTGTTTTCTTTCTTTCTCTCTTTCTCCCTCCCTCCCTTTTTCTTTGTTTCTTTCTTTTCTTTCTTTATTCCTTTCTCCCTCCCTCATTTCCTTTCCTTCCTTTCTTTCTTTCCCTTCCTTTATTTTCTTTCTCTCTTTCTCCCTCCCTCTTTTCTTTTTCTTTCTTTTCTTTCTTTATTCCTTTCTCCCTCCCTCATTTCCTTTCTTTCTTTCTTTCTTTCTTTCTTTCTTTCTTTCTTTCTTTCTTTCTTCCTCACTTCCTTTTTTTCTCCTTCCTTTCCTCCCTCCCTCCTTTTCTTTCTTTCTTTCTTTCTTTCTTTCTTTCTTTCTTTCTTTCTTCCTCACTTCCTTTTTTTCTCCTTCCTTTCCTCCCTCCCTCCTTTTCTTTCTTTCTTTCTTTTTTTCTTTCTTTCTTTCTTTCTTTCTTTCTTTCTTCCTCACTTCCTTTTTTTCTCCTTCCTTTCCTCCCTCCCTCCTTTTCTTTCTTTCTTTCTTTCTTTCTTTCTTTCTTTCTTTCTTTCTTTCTTTCTCCTTCCTTCCCTCCTCCTCTCTCTTTTCTCTTTCTTTCTTTCTTTCTTTTCTTTCCTTCTTTCTTTCTTTCTTTCTTTCTCCTTCCCTCCCTCCTTCTCTCTCTCTCTCCCTCTTTTCTTTCTTTCTTTCCTTCCTTCCTTCCTTCCTTCCTTCCTTCCTTCCTTCCACCCTCAAGATGGCCAAGATATCTAATCCTCCTTCTTCGTCCTATTTTCCCCACAACACCCTTGTGAGGTGGATCAGACTGAGAGAGAAGGACCGGCCCAAAGTCCTCCAGCAGCCTTTCTTAGCTAAGATGAGACTCGAACTCGCCGTCTCCTGGTTTCTCGGCCAGCACTTTCAAAGACAAACACGAAGACCGCAGGGCCCTACCCGTGATTTCAGAGCTGGTCCTACCCCCCCCCTCACCCCCCACCCCAATTCTTACTTGAGGTTCTCTCGGATGTTGGCAGCTTCCACCTGGTTCATGAAATCCTCCAGGAGGGCCGGGTCCAGATCCTCGGAGACGTTGCTGAGCCAGCTGGGGGAAGGCCCCTCTTTGGGGATGGCGAAGTGCCCCAGCAGGATCCCCGCGGTCAGCAGCAGCGCCCCACCCAAGACCGAGCCCAGAATGTATTTCCAGCTGGCCATGGCTGCCAGTAACCCAGGAAGAGGGGCGTCTGGTTGTTCAAGAGACACTGGCAGCCCTTTTCTTTAGCTCTTGGCTCTGGGCAGATCTTCCTGGGGGCTGGGGCGTGATGAAAACGCAGGCGTGTTGCAAGGATGACGTGCCCTTTGATCATCTGGGATGGGCTGTGATCAAGGAAATGGCCTATGTGGTTCTTCCAGGATGTGTGTGTGTGTGGTGTGTGGGTGTGTGTTGGACCTAGCGGGCAGAAAGAGATGAGTTTGGGATGCTGGAGCTCCAAAGGCATGTCAAATTGGTCGACGTACGGCCCCAACGGAGCCCAAACCTTCCGTTGCTAAACAAGATAGTTGCCAAGTGAGTTTTGCCCCATTTTACGACCTTTCTCACCACGGTTGTTAAGCGTGTTAATCACTGCAGTTGTTAAGATAGTCACACGGTTGTTAAGTGAAAAGGGGATCACAAGACCTGGGACACTGCGACCGTCATAAATATGAGCTAGCTGCTGAGCATCTGAATTCTGATCACATGGCCACAGGGATGCTGCAACGGTCGTAAGTGTGAAAAATGGTCCCCATGTTGACCCGGACTTAGGGGACAGTATCCATTGTGAATGCGTGCAGATAGCCCCGCTATCACTGGCCACTTGCAGAACCATGAATGCAAGGTCATAAAAGGACAGCAAAGGAAACACCCCATATCCTAACCCAAAAGGGAACATATAATGTCTTGGGGCAGTGGTTCTCAACCTTTCTAATGCCACGACCCCATAATACAGTTCCCTGTGTTGTGGTGACCCCCAACCACTTATACATCACCGGGTGCCAGGGGCGTGGCCAAAGAAAAGGGGGAAAAATGGCGGACAGCCTTGTTTGGCGGCCCCCGTGAAATGGTCGCTCGACCCCAAATGGGGTCCCAACCCACAGGTGGAGAACCACTGTCTTGGGGGAATACCCAACAGGGAACATTTTTAGCTACTTCTGCTTTCTTCCTTCTTATCTACAGTGTGCCCGCCTTAAAGGGCGAAGTCTTTATCTTACGTGTGTCAGCTTTGCTGGGTGAATTGCTTATGTAATCAAAGAAGGTATAAAAATAAGGCTTTTCTGATATTTGGAGCTTTTTCCCTCTTTTAGAGGAGCCCGTCTTTGTTCGGCTGAATAAAAACGTAAAGCTTGAAGGCAACATCTGCTTTCCTGTATTTTTTTAATCAAGCAAAACCTCGGAACCTGCATAGCAACAAGTCACTTGTTTCAGTGCCTTTGTAATCTTAAAGAATCATACTAAATCAGAGCTTTTCAACCTTTTCACTCATTGTACCACTTTTAAGATATGGCAACATCCGAGGACCACCAGTTGCCTAGCAAGTGTCAAAAACTTGATGACCCCCCCCCCAAAAAAGGAAAAAAGTGATAAAGTACAGATAGTTCTCACAACAGTCTGCTTAGTGACTGTTTGAAATTACAATGGCACTGAAAAAAGTGCCCCCCAAGCCACAGCCGAGCAAGACACCTGCCTGCCCGCTTAGTGGCACTCTTCCTCCTGTCCGAGGTTTTCATTGTTTTGAGCATTTCTGTTGAGGATTGGCAGCAGGGGTGGGTGGGAAGTGTTTGATTTTTATTCCCCCCCATCTGCTGGGTGGTTGCAGCAGGTTTTGGTCACTTCAACTGACCCTGCGACAGTTAGTGTAACTCTTGTCCTGCAGTGAGTTGTCCTGTGATGAGCTGGCTGCGGCAAACGGTCAGACCCTCCCAGAGAGCCAAACTTGACTGAGTGTAAGGACCCACCCCACTTTTCATCTTAAGAAGACAGAACTCTTGGAATACTTCTTCCAACAGGCATCTTTATTAAGAGAAACTGGTTGCAGGCATTCTAGATAGGACTTGGGGTCCAAGCTCTCCCATTCAAGGTTTTAAGGGGTTCCCCAGTAGCCCCACCCAATCACCCCCTTCTTCCAGCGACAGTCTCAGGCATTACGCTCCCACCCCCTTTTCCTTACTGCCGGCTGGATGGAGACTTCAGAGAGGAATACATGAAAGGTAATAGCCCCATTGTTATGGTTAGTCCTTTTGGTGATATCCACATCCAGTCACTTTGAAGTGTACTGAAGGAAGTGAGGGCCACAAAGCCCCTTTGCTCACCCCTTCACCGTATGGCAGAATCCAGAGAAGGCATGAATGGGGTTTTCTATAGTTGATAACTAGAGATGAAATATAATTGGATTCTGACACAGACACTCCAAGCTGCGTTACCTCTGTGCTCCTGGGGAAAGATGCCACTCTGCATTAAATTCCACCACATCACCATTTTTCACTGCAACACGACCGATGCAACCTGCAGCCCCAGGGGACTCAGCTGGGGGGGGAACGGAGGGGCTGTGGCCTTGCCTCCTCACAGGAATGTCGAGTCTTGGATAGCAACAAAATTCTGCCTCCCCCTTCCTCCCCCCTTGCTGGCCTGGCGGAGCGTATCCCCCATTTGCTGAAGGCTCGGGCGTAGCTTCCCCTGCGAGGCCGTCTCTCCAGGACTCGGAAGCTCCACGGCTATGCAATGGGGCCGAGACCAGTCGGCTCCCTTCTCTTGGATCCCTTCTTGCTCCGAGCGCTTGGGGGTCTGGCCACCGCTGTCCAGCATCTTCGGCCTCGGCTGATGCTCCAGACGGGGTCTCAGTGTCTTCTCCGCCGTGCCAGGACTCCGGGAGACTTCGGAGGCATCTGAACGGCCCCATCTGCTCCGTTCAGCCGGATGCTCAGTCACTGCTGAACAGCGGCTGGACAGGGAAGGTGGATGTAGCATTGGGAAGGTCCCCAATGGGTCTGGCAAAGGGCTAGCTGTGGGTGAGGGTACCGAGGCCTCGTGCAGGGATAAGAAGCAGGGGGCTGGGGGAGGACAGACCAGCCCCCTCTCTTTCTTGCCATACTCCTCCATTGCGTTGGCACACTCAGCACAGAACTTAGTGGGCTTGCAAACAGAGGGAGGGGATGGGCAGAGGTAGTTCTTGGCAGCAGGAGGTCCTTGAGCCTCATAGTCCCCCAGCAAGTTGGCTGGATCAAATTCCAGGCTGCAGGCCAGCTTGCTGCTTCCAGGCCTCAAATCAGACGGGGCAGAACTGCTCCGGGTGCTGGAGGCTCCATCTTTGAAAGGGGGAGGGGGAGGAATGACATCCAAGAGAGGTTCAGAATAAAGAGCCATGGGGTTCTCTCCCTCGGGCTGGGCCTGGATGCCGGATTTGGGGGGCAGATCCAAAACCTGGATAAGGTTGAGAAACGGACAGAAACAAGGAGATGGTTTGAAGATCCCAAACTTTTGCCATTCATTGGCAAAAATTTCTGCTTATTTGAAGGATCATACACAAGAAAGATATATTATTGTATGGAGAAGATGGATAGATTATATTCAGAAAAAATATGGGACTTTAAAGTTTCATTTATTTTGTGAGTAAATTTTATAGTAACTGTTGTAGAGATTTGTTTATATGTCTTAATTTAAGGGGAGTTAAAGGTTAAGTATGATGTTTTTTTTCTTTTTTCTTTCTTTTTTCCCCTTTTTTATTATTGTTAACCTTCTTATTAATAACCCTGTACTCTGCTCTGGGAAGTGAGGGGGGGAGGGTTGAGGGTGGGTGGGTGAGTGAGTGGGTGGGTAATGATAATATAGTCATGGTAAATGCTTGGGCATTTCCCCTATGCTGCGTTCATGTGTGTGAGAGGGATGAGAGGGGAGGAAGGAGTAGGGAGGAAGTAGGATAGTTAGAGGAGAAGGGGAGGGGAAGAGAGTAGGAGGGGAGGAGAGAAAGAGGAGGGAAGTAGGGAAGGTTTAGAGAAGGTGGACACAGCCTGGGGGGAATGGGCAGGCGGTACCAATGGTTAATTGTATTTTGTATGAATAAATGGAAAATAAAAACTTTTTTAACAAAAAAAAAAGAATCTGCCATTCATTTAACCATCATGACACTGTTTGTCAACCCTGGCAACTTTAAGATGGGTGGATTTCAACTCCCAGAATTCTCCAGCCAGTCCACTTATCTTAAAGTTGATAAGATTGAGACACAATGTTCTCTTATCTATATCTGTCTATCATCTGTCTATTATTTATCTGTCTGTCTGCCCGTCCGACCATCCATCCATCTGTCCAACCGTCCATCCATCCATCATCCATCTATCATCTCTCTCTTTCTCTCCTCTCTATCATCCATTTATCCATCTCTGGAATTCAAGTCTTTTTTTGAAATTACAGTGGTTTGGTAAAATCCCTCTCATGGCTGGCTGGGAAATTCTGGGAATGGAAGTCCATTCATCTTAAACTTGCCGAGGCTGAGAAACACTGAGTCATGGATTTTTTTCCAAATAATTCCTGGCAAAGGGTTCAGAAGTAAAATTAGCCATGAGTCAATGGTTGTGCATCCCAAATGCCATAGTCCTTATATATCTGGAAAGTGCAGTTTGGGAAAGGCAGACTTTCTACTTCATGTGTCAAAACTACAATTTGTTCCTTGTGGACTAGAAGACGTCCAAAGTTCCCTCAACCCTCAAATTCTATGTTGTATGTTCTACGATTCTTTACTTAATTACACTGAATAGTGAGCATGTAGAAGGGGTTCAAATATGTGTGTAGGTCTGTTATGATGATGGTCCAGAGCACTTGGAACAACTAGATATTGTAAGGACCCACCCCACTTTGCATCTTAAGAAGACAGAACTCTTGGAATAGTTCTTCCAACAGGCATCCTTTAATTAAGAGAAAATGGTCGCAGGCGTTCTAGACAGGACTTGGGGTCCAAGCTCTCCCATTCAAGGTTTTAAGGGGTTCCCCAGTAGCCCCACCCAATCCCCCCCTACTTCCAGCGACAGTCTCAGGCATTACACTCCCACCCCCTTTTCCTTACTGCCGGCTGGATGGAGACTTCAGAGAAAACTACATGAAAGGTAATAGCCCCATTGTTATGGTTAGTCCTTTTGGTGATACACACATCCAGTTCCTTTGAAGTGTACTGAAGGAAGTGAGGGCCATAAAGCCCCTTTGTTCACTCCCTTCCCTTCATCGTATGACAGAATCCAGAGAGGGCAGAAATGGGGTTTTCTATAGTTGATAACTAGAGATGAAATATAATTGGATTCTGACAGATATATTGTCTACACATAAAAGGAAGCATAACCTCTGTACCTTGAATAACAGAAGGAAGCCAGACAATAAAGGTACAAAAGGCCCATTTGCTCCCACCACCGTTATCTCTCAGTTTTCTTCCTACCTGTTCCAAAACCCAGTGCATTTCACCTGGTCCCTAGCATTCACATGCTATTATTCATCCCAACCTATATTTCGAGGCAAGTGAAGTACTCACATTAATTTTCTCCGAGATGCAAATTATGTTTTGGAGTCTGATAACCCGTTCCAGTTCAGAGATTCGGTGGTTCCAAGTCTGCCTTTCCTCTGCCATAGTCTGTGCCTGAGAAGAAAGACAGGTGTGGGGCCAAATAGGCCGAGATGTGTTAGATTAGAACAGCGGTCTTCAAACTTGGCCCTTTTATGACTTGTGGACTTCAACTCCCAGAATTCCTCAGCCAGCATGCCTGGCTGAGGAATTCTGGGAGTTGAAGTCCACAAGTCATAAAAGGGCCATGTTTGAAGATCCCTGGATTAGAATAATGACCTAAGGGCAGACCTCTATCAAACCCACAGAAATTCAAATGTTGCATTTATTTGTTTGTTTATTTATTGATCTATTTATTTATTCATATCCTGCCTCAAGGGACCCACAGAAATTTAAATGTTGTAGTATTTGTTTGTTTATCTATATACCTATTTATTTATTCATAACCTGCCTCAAGGGATGCAAATAACTCAAGGTGACAAACATGTCCAACACACCTTCCTCCTATTTTTCCCACAACAACCTGCAAGGTGTGTAAGGCTGGCTCTTGGCCTAAAATGGGAATAGAACTCATTGTCTTCTGGTGATTGGTCCAAAGTCACCCAGCCAATTTCCATGCCTAAGATTTTGGCCACCTAATGAGAAGGAAGGACTCCCTGGAGAAGGGCCTAATGCTGGGAAAGATGGAGGGCAAGAGAAGAAGGGGACGACAGAGAATGAGATGGCTGGATGGAGTCACTGAAGCAGGAGGCGTGAACTTCAATGGACTCCAGAAGATGGTAGAGGACAGGAAGACCTGGAGGAACATTGTCCATGGGGTTGCGATGGGTCGGACACGACTTCGCAATTAACAACAACAACAAGACGGGATTAGAACTCACCGTCTCTGGGTGATTGGCCCAAAGTCATCCAGACAATTTCCATGCCTATGGCGGGACTAGAACTCACTATCTCCAGGTGATTGGCCCAAAGTCACCCAACTGATTTTCTTGCCTAAGAACTAGAACTCACCATCGCGTGGTTTCTAGCTTTAATCACTAGACCAGTGGTTCTCAACCTTTTTAATGCCGCGACCCCCAACCGGTCGTAAGTCGAGGACTACTCAACCGGTCGTACGTCGAGGACTACTCAACCGGTACAGCACCGTTTGCAGAATGGGACTTTTGGCGGGCTCAGCAGGGCAGAGACAGCCTGGACAATTCCTATTGGCTTTTGAAAGCCAATAGAATTAGACTCTATTCAAGAGAGTCTACTCTATTGGCTTTCAAAAGCCAATAGAATAAAAGGGAGGAGCACAGCTAAGGAAAAGGGGGTAAAAAATGGCGGACTGCGTTGTTTGGCGACCCCCGTGAAATGGTCGTTTGACCCCAAATGGGGTCCCGACCCACAGGTGGAGAACCACTGCTCTAGACCAAGCTAGCTCTACCATCCAGACCCAGAATCAGCAGGCATTGGGCAGTTGGGCAACCAGAAAAATCTAATTAATTAAGCAATTAATTCTGCAGTTATTACAGTAGATACCAGGCTTTCCAAGCTGATACCTAAAAATGATTTAAGACTCTAATTCCCATAATTCTTCGTAGATGGAAAAATGCCTGACATAGTCAAGTCAGAGAGGACATGTTTCTGCAGCATGAAAGCTTATTTATGATCTTAATTTGTTATTATTGGAAAATAGGAAACATAGCTCACCTACGCACTAACCTTGCAGCTATTAGCAGAACATACAGATGGTATAAGATTTCAGAGTATTTAAAATTATTCTATCTGGAATTATGTTTAGAAGCAGGCTACCAACTTAGTATGTCATTGTAATCAGTTAAATAACTCAATATTCAATTAACCATATGAATAAGCGATACGACAGGTTTCTTACAATTCTCTGAAGTTTCTCTTCTAACAACTGGTTGGTGTGACGTGTGTTGGAATACTCTTCTTGAATCCTATTTGAGGAAAAGTGGAAAGAAATGAAAATCATTCTGAATAAATGTTCTACGCAGAGAAATTTGGTACTAAGTAAGTTTTTCTCAACCTTGGTCATTTTAAGATTGGGTGGATTTCAACTCCCAGAATTCCTCAGCCAGCATCTTTTAAGCTGGGCGAACTTCAACTCCCAGAATTCCTCGGCCAGCATCTTTTAAGCTGGGCGAACTTCAACTCCCAGAATTCCTCAGCCAGCATTCTGGGAGTTGAAGTCCACTTGTCTTAAAGTTGCCGAGCATAAGAAACGCTGAAACTACAATAATAGTTCCCAAATAGCAAAGTGTGGTTCAAAAATATTTTAATATTAAGCTCCTCCCAAAAGTGAGTTGGACTACCCGGAACCTCACCCCTTGAAGACCTCAACGTGCTTTCAATCTTCCTTACCTGCTAAAACTTTCCTCTAAAGTCTCCAAAGTCTCTTCCCATTTTTTTTGCAGGTGTCGTTCAGCAAATGCAGGTTTGGAGTCCAAAACAGGAATTTTTGGTAGCTGCTGCTCCTGGGAAGACCTACCATGAGAACAGAAAGTCCATTTTATTCGTTATTCACCCAGAATCACGCAAGTGTGCTGGGCAAGGACAGTCCTCAACTTACAACAATTCATTTCTTGTTTGACGTTACAAAGGCACTGACCGTTGCTGCATCCCCAGGGTCACGTGATCAAAATTCAGACGCTTGGCAACTGGCATGTACTCATGACAGTTGCAGTGTCTCCCAGGTCACGTGATCCCCTTTTGTGACCTTCTGACAAGCAAAGTCAATGGGGAAGCCAGATTCACTTCACAACTGTGTTACTAACTTAACAACTGCAGTGATTCACTTAGCAACTGTGGCAAGAAAAGTCGTAAAATGGGGCAAATTCACTTAAGAAACGGGTTGACTAACTTAACCGCCGCAGTGATCCACTTAGCATCTGTGGCAAGGAAGGTCGCAAAATGGGACAAAAAACTCACTTAACAATTGTCTCACTTAGCAACAGAAACGTTGGGCTCGGTTGTGGGTCATAAGTCAAGGACTTATATAGAAATTTGAAAAATAAATAAAAAAATATAACCAAAGTAGGACTAATTGATGTGTCAATGTGCATTTTCAGAGATCATCTGGATGGGTGGAATGGATCTGTTTAATTTGCGCCACAAATTTAAAAAACAGAAATAAGTACCTGACTTGTGTTTGCATTTCCAACATCTATCTCACATTTTTTTAAAACATTTTTGTTTATCATGTACTGTATGGTGGACATGTGTTAAAGCAAAGAGGTACTGGACAAAAATACATACTTGGCTAGAAAAGGTGTTGGGAAAACATGTAGATTTTAAACCTGAACTTTTCTGATTAGGTATAATGCCAGAAAAGATTGACAAACCAAGCATATACTTGATTCTGCATGTGATAACAGTGGCAAGAATCATATTCGCGCAACACTGGAAAAATGAAGAAATGCCACCAGAGGAAGAAATAATTTTAAAAATGGTAGAATGTGTGGAAACGGACAGACTCACTTTGAAATTGAAAGAAGAAACAGAATACTTTCAAACTTGGGACTTATTTTATCAATGGCTGGAGAAAAGAATAAAGGATTAGGAATTAAATTTGTATTAGTGAATGAATGAATAAGTACCACTGAACTGTATGAAAAAAATTAATAAAAACTTCATTAAACCAAAAACAGAAATAGTGCCCAATCCACTTTGATGGTCTGGATTAACACCAATATTCAATTTAAAGCTGATTGGATGCTCTCTCCAACTTGAACAGGCTTTCAAAAGGCATCTGAAGATGGAGTCAGATTTTTAGACTGAACAACAGTGCCCCCAAACCAGTTGGGACAATTTCAGACACACATTAAACCAACACAGTGTAGAAATAAAAATACAAAATACACAATGTACTGTAGTTCAAAGGAGGTATCGGGGGGGGGGGCTCAGAAAGCAAGTGCTCCCAGCTAAGTAACCATTCATTCATTCATTCATTCATTCAATATTTCTTAACTGCCCATCTCTCTTGGGAGTGTGTTTCTAAAGGAGATGCAGAATAACAGAATAACAGAGTTGGAGGGACCTTGGAGGTCATCTAGACTAATCCAGGGCTTTTCAATCGTTTCACCCATTGTACCACTTTTAGGATATGGCAGTATCCGAGTACCACCAGTCGCCTAGCAAAGTGTCAAAAACTTGGTGACCCCCCCCCAAAAAGGAAAAAAGTGATAAAGTACAGATAGTCCTCGACTTACGACAGTTCACTTAATGACTGTTCAAAGTTACAATGGCACTGAAAAAAGTGCCCCCCAAGCCACAGCCGAGCATGACACCTACCTGCCCGCTCAGTGGCATTCTTCCTCCTGTCCGAGGTTTTCATTGTTGTGAGCATTTCTGTTGAGGATTGGCAGCGGGGGTGGGGTGGGGGGTGTTTGGGTTTTATTCCCCCCCATCTGCTGGGTGGTTGCAGCAGGTTTTGGTCACTTCAACTGACCCTGGGACACTGTGACCGTCATAAATATGAATCAGTTGCCAAGCATCTGAATGTAAATCACAAGACCCTGGAGTTGCTCCAACATTCCAGCTGATTGGCGCTTCTTCTGGGCTCAGCGGAAGTGCCAGGATCAGCGCTGAGCTCCAGCTGGACACTGGTGCTGATCCTGGAGCTTCCGCTGAGCCCTGACAGCCCCGAAGAAGCACCGATCAGCTGGAAAGCAACACTGATCCTGGGGCTTCCGCTGAGCCCTGACAGCCCTGCAGCTCCAGCCGTCTCTCGCTCAGGCTTGTGCGGTGCTGCCACCGGTTCAGCTCATTCCCCTCCCCCACTACCACTTTTCTAGGATGGTTGAGTACCACCTGCCAGGTGCCAATGTACCACAGGTGGTATCCGTACCACTGGTTGAAAAGCCCTCGTCTAATCCAACCCCCTGCTCAGGCAGAAAAACTTATGTCAGTATGCCTAAAAGGATGCAGGTCTACTCACCTGGATGGTTTGGGGTTCATGTCTACCAGAAGTTCCTGAAGAGCAAAAGAAAAAAAAAAAACAGTATTTGAATCCTTACTCTTTATCTCCTTCAACAGGTAAATGATCAGCCCTTAAGACTCAGAGGGATTAGAAACGGGGATCTCCGCAGAGATTGGATCTGCTCTGGAACCTGAATCAAGATGCTTTGTAATTCAAGGCCAGACAGATAACTCAGCAAAGATGATTATAAAACAAATATTTATTCAGGAATACTGGAAGAACTCACGTTTCAGTAGTTTCATCTGGATGTTACATATTTGATTCATCTTTGTAGGTAAAATCATTAATTCCTTCACCTCAACTTCTAGCGTTAATTAAACCGTGTCTGTCCTCCAGTGATCCCATGCTTATCTCAAAGACATTTCAAACTGCTGGCACGTAGCCAGGATATCCTGTGATGAACTTAGTAGCCCCTCCTACTGACTTGTTAACATGGGGTTCACTGAATAGCTAAACTACATTACCCATAACCCATCTCTTAAGGAGACAGCGCTTAACCCTATAAAAGCCAAACATTCTAACACATAGTTCTCATCTAACTGGCTGATCCAGAACAGGATCCAAAAGGATTTCCATTGCAAGCCTAACTTTGCGGCTGATTCCCAAACCAGGGATTTCTGGATAGGATCTTCTTTCCTGCAGTTTGCTTTGGTTCGCTTTCTAAAGTGGCAATAACAACAATAGAAAAGCCATACCTGCTGGGAACTATGATAACTGAAGTCCAACATGCCCACTTAAAAAAAAAAGTTCTCTTTCTTGATATGAGTAATATAAAAAAGTTGAAATGACTTAGATAAAGGAAATGTTTTAGATACTTAAATGTGATTGAATTTAAGAAAATTATAATGGATAAAAAAATTGTATAAGAGTTAGATGACTAGATGACTAGATGTATTAAATGGAATGTTTAAAGATTAAACATATTTTTAATTATAGTTAAAAAGAATAAGAAATTTAGGAAATAAATATGCATTAGGAGGGATATATATTTTAAGTAGTATGTTATTTTTTATGTTTCTTTACTCTTGCTCTCCTTTCTTTCTTTTTCATTGTTTTATCTATTCCTTAAGAAATGTAAAAGTGTGAGATGGTTCATATGGAAAAATAGAGTTAAATTTTTAAATGTAATTAATTTTTGAAAAAATCTTAACCAGTAAGAATACCTAGAATTTGGTGAGAGAAACAAATTAAAATAAGGACTGTAACAGGATCTATGCTAAGGCAACCAGAATGATTGGATAGAAAAGAAATATTATATTGATGTGGTTATTATTTTTAGGAATATCGGGGAAAATTATATATTTAATTGTTATCTATCAAAACAAAAAGAATTGTATTAACGCAATGTTTGCAAAAGAGGATGTTTTGGGGAAAGAGGAAATCAACTAAAACCGTTATGTGGGTCTTCTCCTTCTTCAGGATGTGGAGAACCTGGGACAGGTGGCTAGGGAGTCTCTTGTTTTGACAAAAAGCCTTGTACCTTATAAAGCATCTGACTCTTCCTCGCCACGCTCAGTGACCATTCGTTGTCATCTGATTTCTCTGCTCCTCGGGGCACCGTCTCCTCTGCTTTCCTGAAGGACCATTCTTGAGCCTTGAGCTTCAGCACATGCTCTGAAGCTCCTTCACCATCCCTCCTTGCCCCACAAGGTTCTTCAGACAGCTCAGGCAAGTTGGCCAGAAAGGGAGTAAAGAGGGCCGATTCTGAACTGCTGCTAGTCTCCTCCGCAGTCCTCACAGGTTTGACATTTGCCTGGAGCTGGCTGGGGCGGATGGAGGTGGCATCTCCTTCGGCTTCGAACTGTCCGACTCTTTTCTTCCTGGGCAAGGACATGTTCCCCGCATTTTTTCCCAGCAACGACTCCGATGAAATAGACTTGGTGCTGGGCGCTCTGTGGGTTGGAGAAGACCCCCGGGACTTCCAACCCAGAGACAGGAGACTTGAAGGACTCATGATTTGCTGGGTGACTTCGTTGAGGAACTCCGAAAAGCGTAGTTTGTCTTCTATCCGTCTGTTTTCTCCTAGGATAAGGGACTTCTTGGGGAGAGTCAGGTCCAGGCTTTTAGGAGAAGAGGGCTTCTCCTGCTCCTGCTGCTGGTGGTGGCATCTCCTGGGCTTTGGCGCCAAGAGAGGCTTCACTCCTGTTGGCCGCTCAGTGATGGTCTCACTGGATCTGGTCTTCCACAATCGGCCGTCCTCCTCTACCACCCCGTTTCTCAAAACAGCCCGGCCAAGAGGATACCGGCCGGTCTTGGGGGGCTGCTGCAAAGCTGGAATTTCAGCTTCTTCACCGAAGGCAGGGCCCTGCTGCAGGACAGTGGCCTTGTAGAAGTTCTGCTCCAGGCCTTCAACTTGTCCCACCTGCCGCCAGAGCTCCGGAGGGCCCTGACCAAGAGGCAAATCGCCAGTCCTCACCCTCTGGCCCCGGACGAACGGGGTGAAGGACCCACCCAGCCTTCGGTTCTCCCGGGTGGGGTGAGAGGCTGCACCCTCCATCGCCACCTCCCTACAAGATCCAGACGGAGAAGAATGGTATTGAGAGGGCAGAGCCTCTTTTTCAAGCCTGGCTTCCAAGGACCACATGGCTGAGGAGGTGGAGGTGGACGAGCTTGAGGAGTGAACGGAGAAGCGGTCGTCAAAACTCTCCATCAGCAGGGGCAGATAGACCGTCTCCTTCTGCCGCTTGGCCTGCTGGACCGGCGTGAAGAACTTCTGTAGGACTTGGAGCTTCCCAGCTGGAACGCCACTGCCACCATTCTCCTCGGACCAGTGGGTTGGGTTGAATGCCACCGCCTGCTCCTTCTTACCCAGCTTTTGCTGGACGGCTGAGGCACTCATCTTGAGCAACGGGCGCCAGTCTGCTCCTAACCTCGTCTTCCCTGTTCATTTAGCCCAGGCTGGCCGATTTAGTGGAGCAGAAATCTGACATGTCAATATAATCAGCCTTGGACATCTGATTAAACTAATAGAGGCCATCGGTTTGACCGGAGCATTGTTGCGCCTCTTCCCTCCCCACCGAGCCTGGTTTCATAAGCCAATTCTTCCTTCTAAGCCGTTTGCCAACATCCTGGCGAAGATCTGAGTTTAAATGTCTCTGGAGTCTCTGTCATCCCGGTCCTGGTTATCCCAAATTGGCTTTTTTTTCCACAAGGCAACTGGACGTTCTTGTTTTTGTTTTTAAAAACGTTTTGCTTCTCACCCAAGACGTTTCTTCAGCTCTGACTGAATGGTGGGGAATGGAAGGAAATCTCAGCTTATTGTAACAAGTGGGTTTAATGGAACATTGGGCTCTACCCAACAAAATGCAATATATTGGTGAGAAAAGTAAGGTTTTACACCTAGGCAGGGGAAAAAAACAAATGCATCGGTACAGAAGAGGCGGTATCTGCCTCAGGAGGAGTAATTGTGAGAGGGATCTAGAGGTTTAACCAAGGAGATTAGCAACCTAGAACTAAGGTGAAATTTCCTAACAGTGAGGACAATTAACCAGTGGAATGGCTTGCCGTCAGAAGTTGTGGATGCTCCAAAACTGGAGATTTTTAAGAAAAGACTGGACAGACATTTATCCAGAATGGTAAAGGGTCTCCTACTTGAGCAGGGGGCTGGACTAGAAGACCTCCAAGGTCCCTTCCAACTCTATTATTCTATGTTCTATGTCAGAATGGAATGGAATGGAATAGAATAGAATAGAATAGAATAGAATAGAATAGAATAGAATAGAATAGAATAGAATAGAATAGAATAGAATAGAATAGAAAATATAGAATGGAATGGAACGGAACGGAACAGAACAGAAAATATGGAATGGAATGGAATGGAATGGAATAGAATAATGGAATAGAATAGAATAGAATAGAATAGAATAGAATAGAATAGAATAGAATAGAATAGAATAAGAGATAATGGAATAGAATAGAACAGAATAGAACAGAATAGAATAGGAATAGAGTAGAATAGAGTAGAATTAGAGTAGAATTAGAGTAAAATTAGAGTAAAATTAGAGTAAAATAGAGCTGGAAGGGACCTTGGAGGTCTTCTAGTCCAGCCCCCTGCTCAAGCAGGAGAACCTATACCAGTGATGGCAAACCTTTTAGAGACCGAGTGCCCAAACTGCAACCCAAAACCCACTTATGCATCGTTGAGTGCCGGGTGGGTGTGGCCCATTGGGTGGGCGTGGCTGCGGTGGTAATGGCAGACTGGGTGGGACTAAAAAGTTCAATCAGTCAATTCCAACTTTGCAAGATCTTTTTTTTTTCGTGAGAAGTTGAAATTGATTGATTGAGCCTTTTTTTTTTTGCACACGGCGGCGGAAGCCTAAAGCAAAAAGGTTTTATAAAACCCAGCTGAAGGCCTAGGACTCGGGCAACGGCGCGCATGCCCACAGAGGGGGCTCTGAGTGCCACCTGTGGCACGCGTGCTATAGGTTCGCCATCATGGACCTACACCATCTCAGACAAGGACTGTCTAGCCTCTTCTTAAAAACTTCCAGTGATGGAGTGCCCATGATTCCTGGTGGCAAGCTGTTCCACTGGTTGATTGTCCTCACTGTGAGGAAGTTCCTCCTTAATTCCAGGTTGCTTCTCTCTTTGACCAGTTTCCAACCATTGTTTCTTGTCTTGCCCTCTGGTGCTTTGGAGAATAATTTGACCTCCTCTGGATTTGGATTCTTTTATACTAGGAATGTATTTATACAATTTAAGATCCAAATAGGTCTCGTTGGCTTATACTTGAAAAATAAGCAACATTAAATCTAATAAATAAATGGCTGACTGGAGAATTCTGGGAAGTTCAGTGGTCATGAAGGGGCCATTGTTGCCCACCGCTGCTTGAGACCAATGTTTCGCAACCATGGGCACTTTAAAATGGGTGGGCTTCAATTCCCAAAATTTCCCAGCCAGTATGTGTTGAAGTCCACACATTTTACAGCTTACAGCTTTATAAACTGTGATTTATACATTGGTGGGTGGTGTAACCCCAAGCCATTGTTGTTTACTTCACAAATCAGGGTTTAACAATCCAGTTTAAGCAGACTGATTTCATATTTTCTTTCTCTTCCGAAAGCTAACATTCCGCTGAGCTGAGCAATCATACCAATAAATTGCATAAAGATGCTTTAATGATCCAACAGCAATAGAAGAGGAACATGGTATCTGGCATTGGATCATAAAACTGGGCAAATTCCACCCTGAGATTTGATAACAAAGATGAGAGATTAGACAGAACAGGGTTTCCCAACCTTGGGCACTTGAAGATGTGTGGACTTCAACTCCCAGAGTTCCTTATGCTGCCAACATTCTCTATGCTAGCTCAGGTTGAGAAAGACTGCTCTGTTATCTAGAATCTCTCTCTCATCCCACTCTATCATCCATCTCGCCATCCATCCATCCCTCCATTCATCCATCCATCCATCCCCTTTGCAATTCAAATCTTTGCTTGCAATTCCCACTGGGTGTGTAAAAGCCCCATCTGGACAGTTACATAAACGCATATCCCTGGGAGCGCTTTTGCTTGTGTTTCAAAGCAAGTATTTAACAATAAAAATTGTATATTGACCCATGGTGCCGCATGGGGGGAAAAATCAATCCAGTGATTAGATTATTTTTAAACCATCGTTAGCGGACGTACAAAATGGAATTGGGATGCAGCCTTCAATAAACTCAGCTGGAAATTCTGCTAGGGTCTCACGCCCTTCCATGTCTCAGAATTTCAGTTCTGAGACATGGAAGACCCCAAGTGATGCCCCCTGTCCAAGATCAACTGCCTATCCTCAAGGGCATCGTCGGAGTTTAGCGGGTGGGAAAGCTGACTCAGCAGCTGGATGCAAAAAAAAAAAAAATATGATTTTTGCGGTCCTGTAAAGCAACAGCCTTTTAGTACTGTCTCACTGGAGAAGGACCTAATGCTGGGAAAGATGGAGGGCAGGCAAGAGAAGAAGGGGACGACAGAGAAGGAGGTGGCTGGATGGAGTCCCTGAAGCAGCAGGCGTGAGCTTCAATGGACTCCAGAAGATGGCAGAGGCCAGGAAGGCCTGGAGGAACGTTGTCCATGGGGTAGCGATGGGTCAGACACAACTTCACAACTAACAACAACAACAATGAGAAAAAAGGACTCCCTGGAGAAGAGCCTGATGCTGGGAAAGATGGAGGACAATAGAAGAAGAAGGGGACGACAGAGAATGGGGTGGCTGGATGGAGTCCCTGAAGCAGCAGGTGTGAACTTAAATGGACTCCAGAAGATGGTAGAGGACAGGAAGGCCTGGAGGAACGTGGTCCATGGGGTCGCGATGGGTCGGACACAACTTTGCAATTAACACCACCAACAACAAAGCAACAGCAAAATGGATTGGTTGGATGAGGGTAGCAAATTCTTTCAAGAGAATTTCTTGGACACAGGCAGTCCTCGACTTACGGCAGTTCATTTAGTGACCATTTGAAGTTACAATGGCACTGAAAAAAAGAGACTTATGACCATTTTTCACACTTACGGCCCTTGCGGCATCCCCATGGTCACGTGACGCTTGGCAACTGACTCTTGGGCGCTTGGCAACTGACTTGGCAACTGACTCACATTTACGACGGTTGGCAACTGACTCACATTTACGACGGTTGCAGTGTCCCGGCGTCACGTGATCCCCTTTTGCGTCCATCTGACAAGCAAAGTCAATGGAGGAAGCCAGATTCACTTAACAACTGTATTACTAACTTAACAACTGCAGTGAATTTAACAAATATTTCACTTAGCAACAGAAATATTGGGCTCAGTTGTGGTGGTAAGTTGAGGACTACCTGTATTTCACTGAAGTGTATTTACATGTTGCAGAGAAGTAATATTATCTATCTATCTGTCTATCTATAATATTATCTATCTATCTGTCTATCTATCTATCTATCTATCTATCTATCTATCTATCTATCTATCCATTCACTATTTATATCTGTGGAAAAAACTCTCTCCACGGAACCAGTCCCTGGTGTCCAAAAAATTGGGGATCTCTGCCCTAGACCATTCCGGATCTTATACCATTCCAGTCTCTTAAAAATCTCCAGTGATGGAACTGTTCCAGTGTCAGCTGTTCTGAACATCAGGAAATTTCTCCTTAATTCTAGATTGAATCTGTCTTTGATAAGTTTCCATCCATTAATTCTTATCCTGCCCTCAAGTCCTTTGGAAAACAGGTTGATCCCCCTCTTGTTTGTGACAACCCTTCAAGTATTGGAAGACAGCTATCCTGTCACCCCAAATTCTTTTCTTTGTTAGATTAAACATAACCTAGTTACCTCAATTGTTCATTGTACGCTTTAGCCTCCAGGTGTAGATGACCAGGCTTAGCCTGAGGGAGGGAGGGGTCAAGCATGTCATCAGCCTGGAGTCCCTTCATGTCCACAAGAGATCCAAGTCCAGCCCATCTTGAATTCCATTGATTCTTATTTGCCGATTTCTTTGACCATTAGTAGTTCAGATTCTTGTAGAGAGCATAAGTGTCAGAATCCCATTATGTTTCGTTTCTAGTTATCGACTATGGAAAACCCCATTTCTGCCCTCTCTGGATTCTGTCATACTACGAAGGGGAAGGGGGGTGAGCAAAGGGGTTTTATGGCTCTCACTTCCTTCGTTAAAACTTCAAAGGGACTGAATGTGGATCTCACCAAGAGGACTGACCATAACAATATGGCCATCACCTTTCATCTACTCCTCTCTGAAGTCTCCCTTCTGTCAGTCAAGAGGAAAAAGGGATGGAAATGTAACGCCTGGGATTGTCACTGGAAAGATGGTGGAGTGGGGCTGCTGGGGACCCCTTAAAACCTTGAACCATAGGGCTTGGGCCCCAGGTCCTGTCAAGAACACCTGCAACCATCTTCTCTTAATAAAGGATGCCTGTTGGAAGAAATATTCCAAGAGTTCTGTCTTCTTAAGATGTAAAGTGGGGTGGGTCCTTACAATAAGCTTGCAATAAACCTGAATAGAATAGAATAGCTTGTTTTAATATAATTTCTGAATGTTTTGTTACCAAACTAAGTAACCTTATCAGCAGGATTTTCCTGTCCTATTCTCCTTCGCTCATGACTTGTGTGCCAGTGTGGTCAGTTGGTCGTGCGATTAGTTGTTTGGAGCTATATTTGAATTCCAAGCAGCTGATAGGTTCCCTTGTTGATTGGCACTTCAAATGGTCTGACTTCTTACATATTGATATGATGGATCTAAATCAATACGTTTGTTAACTGCTCCTTTGGTGAAAAATCAGGTCTCAGTAAGTTTACACCCATATAACTTTGAAATAATAGGAAATATTTGTATCTTGGATTTTAAATTCTGGCTGTGGTTTGTTCTCCAAGCTTGTTTTAATATAATTCCTGAACGTTTTGTTACCAAACTGTTACCATCACGAGGACTTTTTTTTTTTCTAAATCTCTCCCAATTCCTTTATGGAACAAACAAGTTTATGGCCAGATATTAACCAGTAGGATAAAACTGACTAAGTCAGACTGCAGCCAAAAAGTCTTCTCCACCCAAAAGGATCAGCAGATCTTTCCAAGTTAAAAGATGAGTATTTGACTGGCACATTCAATTTCTAACACTGTCTCCATTTTTAACTGAATTTAAGTACCTCTTGCTAGAAGCGGTAATACTAAATACCGGGGTTTCTCAATCTTCACTGCTTGAAAATGGGAGGACTTCAAGTCCCAGAATCCCTGGATGGCTGAGGGATTCTGGGAATTGAAGTCCACACATTTTCAAATGGCCAGGTTTAAGAAACACCGATGTAAATTATTGAAAGATGTAAGAAATTACATCCTGGGTTACAAAAATGATAAACATTATATATTATATTGTATTGTATTATTATACATTACATTATTATATATTATATTGTATTATTATTATTATAGCTTTTATAGAAAACGAACAAAGAATATTGCCAGACTTTGGAGTCTTATCAACAGGACTTGTCAGAAAGAGGATGCTTCACACCATCCCGCATAAAGATGTCCAATCTTTGTTGAAAGCTTCAGTGGTGAAGCACCCAGACCCCTCCTGTTCAGGTAGTCCTCGACTTAGGACGAGAATTCATTAAGTGGCATGGTCATTCAGTGAGGCATCAGACGAACGCGACCAACTTACGACCTGTTTGCCACGGTTCAGCAAATCACTGCGGTCCTTAAAGCAAGACATCGTGCAACTCGTAAACTTCCTGTCCGAAATGCCATCACACGCTTGAGCTTCACATCCGCTGTCAGTCTGCCATGAACTGGGGGGGGGGGAAACAGAGGTGGTCGGGAGGTGGGGGGGGGGAAGCTAACTGCTCATCGTACCTTCCATAGACACCAGTTCAGCGTCAAAGCCTGGGAACCAAATGCAACGGCTCACCAACCAGCCCGCCGTTGGAAGAGAGAGTTCTCACAATGATGTATTCAAATATAATTTGGACAAGGGGAGGAACTGGACGGAGTAAGTTAAATGGGAAAAGTTTGGCACGCAAACCTCAGTTCTGGCTTTACTGTAATCCACTTGGCTTTTAGTAAAGCATACCTTTCACTACAAATGGGAGTCGAGGGTCTTTCTTAACGAAAGGAAGAAGTCAGGGCAGGTCTGACACTTCCCTATTGACTTAGCTCCTTATAAACTGGCTGGGAAAGGTCTTAAATGGTGATCACGTGACTGCAGGAAGTTCCAATCAAAAAGGCCAGGTTGCCAAGCCTCCAGATCACAATGAGGTGGCGGTGGGGACACTGCAGCAGTTGCCAAGTGTGAGGGCTGGTCATAATTCACTTTTTCAGCACCGCTGGAACTTTGAATGTTCAGTAAGCAAATGCTTCTAAGTCAGTGGTTCTCAACCTTTTTCATGCCGCGACTCCCAACCGGTCGTAAGTCGAGGACTACTCAACCGGTCGCAAGTCGAAGACTACTCAACTGGTGCAGCACCGTTTGCAGAATGGGACTTTTGGCAGGCTCAGCAGGGCAGAGACAGCCTGGACAATTCCTATTGGCTTTGGAAAGCCAATAGAATTAGACTCTATTCAAGAGAGACTATTCTATTGGCTTTCAAAAGCCAATAGAATAAAAGGGAGTAGCACAGCTAAGGAAAAGGGGGGGGGAAATGGCGGACTGCGTTGTTTGGCAACCTCCGTGAAATGGTCGTTCGGCCCCAAATGGGGTCCCGACCCACAGGTTGAGAACCACTGCTCTAAGTCAAGGACTACCTGTATGTCCTCATCCTGCCGTGTCTAGCAGTGTCTTCTGATGATCCATCATGCAGATTGGGAGACCTGGAAGTTGTTTGAACAAACCTAGGTCGGGCCTAATTGGGGGGGGAAAAAAAATCATCCTTGATTTACGACAATTGAGCCCAACATTTCTGCTGCTAAACAAGACAGCGGTTAAGTAAATTTTGGCCCATATTACGACCTCCCTTGCCACAGTTGTTTTGTGAATCACTGCAGTTAAGTTAATAACACCGTGGTTAAGTGAATCTGGCTTCTCCGTTGACTTTGCTCGTCGCAAAAGGGGATCACGTAACCCTGGGACACACGGCAGCCGTCGGAAAGCCATGCCGGTTGACAAGCGTCAGAATTCTGATCCAGGTGACCTTGGGGGTACAACGGTTGTAAGAAAACAAGTCACAAGTCGCTTTTTTCCAGTGCTGTTGTTAACCTGGAAGAGTCATAAACGAACGTCTGTTTAAATCAGTGGTTCTCAACCTGTGGGTCGGGACCCCATTTGGGATCGAACAACCATTTCACGGGGGTCACCAAACAACGCAGTCCGCCTTTTTTTCCCCCTTTTCCTTAGCTGTGCTCCTCCCTTTTATTCTATTGGCTTTTGAAAGCCAATCGAATAGACTCTCTTGAATAGAGTCTAATTCTATTGGCTTTCAAAAGCCAATAGGAATTGTCCAGGCTGCCTCTGCCCTGCTGAGCCCACCAAAAGTCCCATTCTGCAAACGGTGCTGCACCAATTGAGTAGTCCTCGACTTACGACCGGTTGAGTAGTCCTCGATTTACGACCGGTTGGGGGTCGCGGCATTAAAAAGGTTGAGAAGCACTGGTTTAAGTCGAGTACTACGTGTATAAGGTTATTCAGGGCTGGAAGAGGCAAACTTTGGGATGGAATTTAGAGGGAGAAATACACGTGAATAGTTCAATGTCTATAGAGGTTCTCCTCCTCCAGGTCATGGTGGTCCCAAAGATGCTTTTTCACGAGGCAACTGGACTTTCTTGTTTTTCTTTGAAGACGTTTCGCTTTGGATCCAAGAAGCTTCTTCAGCTCTGAATGGATGGTGGGGAACGGAGGGATTATCTTCCTTGCAACAGCTGATCCGTTGCCTTCTTTTTGAGAGTGGTGGACGCCACTTGGAGGCTTATCTGTGTCCTTTGGGTCACTTGAGTATTGACCGTTTGCCCTACTCGGGTGACCCTGAGGACACAGAAAAAATAAGAAAGTCAAGTTGCCTCCTGAAGAAGCATATTTGGGGTCTATGAATAGTTAGACATCTAAAAGACAACAGGAAAACTGAAGGAAAGTCTTTTTAATTTTCTTATCCTTATTCTAACAGGGCTGCACAGTGAAACATCAGCAGGCTAACAACAGACAAACGAAACTTCAAAAACTTTGCCGCTGCAAGGAGTCTGTTCAAGGGGCTCTTCCTTAAAACCAGCCTGCACAAACTCCCCATTAACTCCCCCCTAAAAACAGCAGAGCAAACCAGGCCCCCTGCTCCATTTAAGCCAGCGGTTCTCAACCTGTGGGTCGGGACCCCATTTGGGGTCGAACGACCATTTCACAGGGGGTCGCCAAACAAGGCTGTCCGCCATTTTTTGCCCCCTTTTCTTTGGCCACGCCCCTGGCACCCAGCGATGTATAAGTGGTTGGGGGTCACCACAACATGGGGAACTGTATTATGGGGTCGCGGCATTAGAAAGGTTGAGAACCACTGGCTTAAGCAAAGATGACTTGTGCAGAAGGCAAACGCAGAAGAAAAATAATTAAAAAAATAATAAAACGACGGAGCGAAACAAAGGCTAGGATGCACATCACCTTAACATCTTGCCTATTTTCTGTGGGGGGGGGGAGAGGGGAGGAAGCCGAGAGGAAACTAAACAAGCTATTTCCAAGGGTGGCCAAGCCATTTACCAAAATTGTGATGCTGGGTAGAACTGTGATCCTTCTGAACATATTTTTCAAGTGACAGATAAGAAAAAAAAAAATTAGTCTTCACAAGCCCGTAGAACAATATAGTATCTTTTGTTTTTTGGGGGGTGGTGGGGCATCAAGAGAAGTGGTAGCTGCCTTTTGTGACCGAGTTAAGCCTGTAGTAAGAAATTTTACAGCTTTATGCCAAGAAAGGTTAAGCGTCCTCCGGGGCGGGTTTCAGATTTATGTACAAGCAACATATTCTGGCCATCGAAGAGGTGCTGAGCGGATGCATTTTCACTCCACAAGGAGATCAAACTTCTCGGCTTCTTCAAACTCAGCGTTCATCTGGGCGGCCCATTCGTCCATCTCTGATTTCTAGAAAGGGAATAAAATGTCTTTAATTTGGATAAAAAGATGCTCCTGCTCGGACAATCAAGCCTTCCCCCCCCCAAACACAAGATAAGAAGACTGCGCTAATGTTCTCCACCAAGGCAATAAGAACCTTGCAGGATTTCTGGATTAAATTCCTCCACAGATCTTTATACGGGGAGTCCTCCACTTACGGCCACAACTGAGCCGAAAATTTCCGTTGCTGAGCCCGACAGTGGTCAAGGGAGTTTTGCCCCGTTTTACAACCTATCTTGGCCACAGTTGTTAAGTGAATCCCTGCAGTTGTTCAGTTAGTAACACGGTTGTTAAGCGAATCTGGCTTCCCCCCGTTGCAAAAGGGGATCACGTGACCCCGGGACCCTGCCACCAGGTGCCAAGGGGCTGAATCTTGATCACGTGACCGAAGGGGGTGCTTCAACAGTCGTTAAGTGTAGAAAATGGTCCTCGATCCTTTTTTCACTGCCGTTGTAACTTCGGTCGCTAAACGAAGGCTGCAAGTCGAGGACTACATGTATATATAAACTTTAGTCCTGATATAAATAATGCTTATATTTTCTTATAGTCCTGATACAAAGTAATTTATATGAAACATAAATAAAATTTGCCTTTTATTGTGGTTGACTAATCAAGGTGAAATGTTAATAGGTATTGCTAGTCATGTATGAAATGCCATACACTAAATAAAAAAATAAATAAGTCCTGATGCCATCTGCTCCTTTTGGGACTGGATCACTTGCTCTGCCACGCAAACAATAGTTGTCGCCCTCATGCCTGCGGACAGCGGCACTTCCCTGCCTTAGTAGAGAATGAGACAACTTGCCACAGCCAACCCACCACAGGAGAATTCAACAATGATTTAAAACAAATAGCAAATTGTTTTAAATTTTTATCCTTTTCCATCTTTTCTTTAATGATTCCATTCCACCATTTATAATAATAATAATGATAAAGTTGGAAGGGGCCTTGGAGGTCATCCAGCCCAGGGCTTTTCAACCAGTGGTACGGGTACCACCTGGGGTAGATTGGCACCTGGCAGGTGGTACACGACCATCCTAGTAAAGTGGTAGCAGGGGAGGGGAATGAGTTGAACCAGTGGCAGCACCGCACAAGCCTGAGCGAGAGACGGCTGGAGCTGCAGGGCTGTCAGGGCTCAGTGGAAGCGCCAAGATCAGTGCTGCTTTCCAGCTGATCAATGCTTCTTCGGGGCTGTCAGGGCTCAGCGGAAGCACCAGGATCAGCGCCAGGGTCCAGCTGGAACTCAGCACTGATCCTGGTGCTTCCACTGAGCCCAGAAGAAGCACCGATCAGCCGGAATGTTGCAGCATCTCCAGGGTCTTGTGATTTACATTCAGATGCTTGGCAACGGATTCATATTTATGACGGTCACAGTGTCCCAGGGTCATGTGAAGTGACCAAAACCTGCTGCAACCACCCAGCAGATGGGGGGAATAAAACCCAAACACCCCCCACCCCACCCCGTTGCCAATCCTCAACAGAAATGCTCACAACAATGGAAACCTTGGACAGGAGGAAGAGCACCGCCGGGTGGGCAAGCAGGTGTCTTGCTCGGCTGTGCCTTGGGGGGCACTTTTTTCAGTACCATTGTAACTTCGAACAGTCACTAAGCGAACTGTTGTAAGTCGAGGACTACCTGTACTTTATCACTTTTTTCCTTTGGGGGGGGGTCATCGAGGTTTTGACACCTTGCTAGGCGACTGGTGGTACTCGGATGTTGCCGTATCCTAAAAGTGGTACAATGGGTGAAAAGGTTGAAAAGCCCTGCTCTTGGATATTAATGTAAGAGATGGCCGCAGCAAACTGTGATACACCTGCCTTAGTACACTGCATGCACAACTCAGGTCAATGGCATTGAGGAGACCATAGTTTGATATGGGTAGTCCTCAGCTTACGACCACAAGCGAGCCCCAAATTTATGTTGCTAAGGGAGAAATTTGTTAAGTGAGTCTTTCCCCATTTTACGACTTTTCTTGCCAGAGTTGCTAAGCGAATCACCGCAGTTGTGGACATCCTTGCTCATTGTAAGAAAGTTCAGGTAGCCCTCAACTCACTATCACAGAGGAGCCCTGAGTTTCTGTGACTGAGCCCGACGGTTGTTTGATGATTTTTTCCCCCTCCATTTTACGACCTTTCTCGCCACAGTTGTTAAGTGGATCACTGCAGTTAAGTTAGTGAGGTGGTTGTTAAGTGAATCTGCCTTCCCCTTTCACTTTGCTTGTCGGAGGGGCGCACAAGGCGAATCACGTGACCTGGGGACGCTGCAACCGTCATAAACGCGAGTCAGTTGCCAAGCGTCCAAATGTAAACCAGGTGATCCCGGGGATGCGGCAACGGTCGTTAAGTGTGAAAAATGGTCCTAAGCAAACTGTCGTACATCGAGGACCACCTGCCCCAAACCTACAGCCACAGCCTGGCTACCCCCAGCGCCCCAAGTCCCACTCACATCAAACTCAGGCACCTTCTTCTTCCTTCGTTTTTCTCTGCCAAACGAGATGCCGGGGATGTCGGTGTCCGGATTCCCGAAGGCCCCACTTCCTGCCGCTGACGTCTTTGGGGCGCCGCTTTTATGCAAAGTGGGGGGCTCTAGCAGCTCCCCTGGGAGTAAAAGCTTCTCAAAACCAAAGAGGGTTTGCCGCTTGCCGGGACCGCCGGCGGGCGTGGAGGTGCCAGCGAGGCTGAAGCTCGGAAACTCCTGCTTTTCGGTGAAGCTGTGGGACAAGGAGACGTCCAGGCGGCTGTAAGACCGGCGCACCCGTTTGGCCATGGCCAGGTCTCGTTCGGATCCCGGAGGAGAATCTGGCGTGTTGGCGCTGACCAGGGAGCGAACGCTAGTCTCTTTCGGTGAATTCTTTGCGTCAAGATTCAAGGGACAGCAGGGGGTAAAAGGCTGGGCTTTCTTTGGGGTCTCCCCTCCGTGGGGACGTTGGTTTTCAGGGGCCGCCGGGGGGCTGTTCTCCTTGTTTCCTTTTAAGGAGATCTGCAAAAGAGGAACAGGGCCCGCGTTACTTCAGGTGGAAAGCAGCACAAGGGGAGAGTCGGAAGGTTGAGCCATTATAATAATAATAGTAGTAAAGCTGGAAGGGACCTTGGAGGTCATCTAATCCAACCCCCTGCTCAGGCAGGAAACCCTACACTTAGTGGTTCTCAACCTGTGGGTCAGGACCCCATTTGGGGTCGAACGACCATTTCACGGGGGTCGCCAAACAACGCAGTCCGCCATTTTTTCCCCCCTTTTCCTTAGCTGTGCTACTCCCTTTTATTCTATTGGCTTTTGAAAGCCAATAGAATAGACTCTCTTGAATAAAGTCTAATTCTATTGGCTTTCAAAAGCCAATAGGAATTGTCCAGGCTGTCTCTGCCCTGCTGAGCCCGCCAAAAGTCCCATTCTGCAAACGGTGCTGCCCCAGTTGAGTAGTCCTCGACTTACGACCGGTTGAGTAGTCCTCGACTTACGACTGGTTGGGGATCGCGGCATTAAAAAGGTTGAGAACCACTGCATTAGATTCTTTTAGGATCGCGAACCCTACTATAAACTACGCATGTTGTATGCTCTAAGTTGTATCTTCTTCCTCCCCCCTCCCAGTCCGTGGGGAAATTGTCTTCCACGAAACCAGTCCCTTGTACCAAAAGGGTTGGGGACCGCTGCTCCAGATGTGTCAGACTTTCAATTCCCAGAATTCCCCAGCCACCTTTGGGAAGGCCAGGCTTCTTAAAGGTTCCCAATCTTGCTGAAAGACGTTCTTTTAATTCTCAAAAATTGCTGTGGCTCCATGCTTACCCTTGGACTCCGACGAGAGACTAAATCACTTCCTTTCATCTTATCCTGGGGAGCAGTAGAGGGGGAAAAATGTAATATGTAGTTAATTGGGCATAAGACCATGATTTAATTTTATTTATAATTTTATTCATCACTCGTGCTGTTTTTTTAAAAAAATGGTTCACTGCTCTGATGTCTTATATTTTGATACACATTTTATATACTGAGTTGGTGAATTTTTATCCATTATTGCTAGATTCTGTTACTCATATGAAATAAGAATAATAAGAATAATAAGGAGAATAATAAGAAGAAGGAGGAAAGATGGGTCAATTCTCATAGTGATGGAATTGGCATCACTGTCTTAATTAAACAATATATCCAGTTTTGTTTCTATTTGGAAACCACTTCTAGACTTAATGAAACATTGACTTTGGGTTTTGATGATTTAGCTTGCTGTTGTAGAAATGGCTAGTAATTATTAATTATATCAAAGTAAAAAGTCACAGTGTAATTTACTGCAGCAAAGAAAATTGGAGGCCATTGGATTTTTTTTTCTTTTCCTTTTCCTTCACATCTTCTTTCCCCTTCTGTTTCTCTCCCACCTTTCCTATTGTCTTTCTTTTCATTTGTATCTTTTATTCGGATAAACCTCAATAACATTTATTTTTTTTAAAAAAATCACAGAAAGGTGGAATATGTATACACAGCTTGATAACAACTACTCACCTGCTGATTCCGTGGCTTAATCTTTCTCAGAGTTATCGTGCGCACGACAGGGGCAGCCGGGCGCTGCAAAGAGGGAAAAAAGATTCAGGCGGGTGGCAAAGAAAAATGCAGCTGGGGGAGAATTTTTCTGTTGAAGACACAGAACCTGAGATTCCTGTCTCAAAATACATCACATTCTTTGAGAGAACCTGAACATCACTCCCACCTCAAATACAGGTAATCCTCGACTTACAACCATAACTGAGCCCAAAATTTCTGTTGCTAAGTGAAACACTTGTTAAGTGAGTTTTGCCCCCTTTTACAACCTTTCTTGCCACAGTTCTTAAGCGAATCACTGCAGTTATTAAGTTAGGGCACGGGTCGGCAACCCGCAGCGCCAGAGCTGGATGTGGCTCTTTGAGTGTTCTCCTGCGGCTCCCAGCTTCCTCTGCCATTTGCAGAGAGACAAAGACAGAGGCACTTGCGCGTCCCTTCTCTTTCTCTTTCTCTCTCTCTCTCTGGGGGGGGGGCTCCTCCATTTGCTGCATCTCTGCAGGAAGGGCAGGAGAGAGCCAGCCCAATAATGTGTGTCAACTTGTTGGAGAACAGTGTGAAGCCAGCTTGCCAGATAAGCAGAAGATCGGAGAGAAAGAGAGAGGGAGAGGAAAGAGAGAGAGAGAGAAAGAGGGGGGGAGAGAGAGAGGAAGAGAGAGGGAGAGAGAAAAAGAGAGGGAGAGGAAAGAGAGAGAGGGGGGAAGAGAGAGAACTCATGTACAGCAGCCTCTATTTCTTTTTAATTAAACTCTTCAAACATGCTCCCCGCCCCTCGGGTGCACACGCGCGCCTGTGCATGCACACATTTTGCGGCTCCCATGTTTTCTTTTCTCTTGGGAAATGGGTCCAAGCGGCTCTTTGAGTGTTTAAGGTTGCAGACCCCTGAATTAGGGTCATGATTATTAAGTGAATGGCTTGTCAGAAGTTTGCAAAAGGGGACCCCGGGACACTGCAACCATCACAAATATGAGTCCGTTGCCAAGCATCTGGATTTTAATCACGTGACCATGGGGATGCTGCAACGGTCGCAGCATGAAAAATAATTATACGTCACTTTTTTTCACTGATTCTTGTAACTCTGACTACTACGTGAATGGTTGTAAGGCTGAATGGCTCACTCAATGCATCACAACTCAAGCAGAATTTCAAATTCACAAAGAATAAAGGAAAGAACACAACAATGCTTTTCTCGTACCGGGCTGCCCATCATTTTCCTGGCCACCCCCCTGGGGTTCTCCTGGGACACTGGACGAGTTGAGGAAGGCAAGTTCCTCTCGGACCTTCGCCGGGGGGGAGAAGCAGCAGCACCTGGGGGAAAGAAAGGAGAAAAGGGGTTGATCAAAAACGTTAAGAAAAACCATGAAGTCCACACTCAGCGAATGTTTTCATTTAAAAACAGAGTCATGCTATAAGCCAGGGCATCCTATACAGATAGACCTCGACTTACGACCAAAACTGAGTCCAACATTTCTGTTGCTAAGTGAGACACTTGTTAAATGAATGGTGAGGAAATGTAAGGATTTATATATTTATATATCAGAGCTAATTGGATTTTTACACAAATAAATAAATTTTGAGAATGGAGAAAGAAAAGAAGCGTTCTAAATAACATCCCCTCGGGGACTACCAGAGCCGCGCGGCCTCCTTCCTCCCCCGGCCAAACGGGCCGAGCTGCGACGGGCCCAGCCGAGCACGGGCGCCCCAGGAGCGCTTTGCAGGCCAGGCAGAGGAGCCCCGTCTCCAGCCCCGGCCTGCTCCGAGAGGACCCCCCCCGCACACCTCCCTCACCTTCGCGGGCCGCGCCCGCCGAGCGCGCCCGCCTCCCGGGGCGGCCTCCCGCCATGGCGGCCGCCGCCTCCTCCGAACCGCTTCGCTGCGCCGTTGAAATCGCCCGCCAGAGCCTCGCCGGAAGTGACGTCGGGCCGTCCGCCGGAAGCGCGACCGGCGCCATCTTGGGAGAGAAGGCGGGGGAGTGTGAGAGTGAGAGAGTGAGAGAGAGAGAGAGATCGGCGTGACGCCATCAGAACGCGACGTTCCCGGAAGAGACGTGGCAGCGGGACGGAGGGAGGCGGGGGAGACAGGTGGGTGTCGCCCCTCGGCTGCGGACCGGCCCCAGCCCAGGAGAGCGAGCGAGCGGCGGCTGGGCTGCTCGGGCGACGCTCGGACGCTCCGTACTGGCGCGGGGGCCGCTCCGGGACTGCTTCCTCGCGAAGGGAGGCAGGTAGAGCACGTCTCCGGGGGCTGCGGGGGAAGGTCCGCTCCCTTGCTGGCCCGGAGGGGGGGGGTCGGGAATATGATCACGTGGCCCCCGGGGCCTTTGGGGGGGGGAGGAAGCGATGGGCTTTGATGGCCAGGAGGGATGGGGATCATGGGGCTGGGCTCCGTCCGGAGGACGCCCCGATTGCAGCCCCGGGGAGTCGAATTAGAGCAGTGTTTCTCAACCTTGACCATTTTAAGGCATGTGGACTTCAACTCCCAGAATTCCCCAGCCAGCAATGCTTTAAGAGGGGTGGATCTCAATTCCCAGGACTCCCCAGCCATCATGCTTTAAGAGGGATGACTTCAACTCCCAGGATTCCTGAGCCAGTATGCTTTAATCCAGTGTTTCCCAAACTTGACAATTTTAAGGCATGTGGACTTCAACTCCCAGAATTCCCCAGCCAGCAATGCTTTAAGAGGGGTGGATCTCAATTCCCAGGACTCCCCAGCCATCATGCTTTAAGAGGGATGACTTCAACTCCCAGGATTCTTGAGCCAGTATGCTTTAATCCAGTGTTTCCCAAACTTGACAATTTTAAGGCATGTGGACTTCAACTCCCAGAATTCCACAGCCAGCAATGCTTTAAGAGGGGTGGATCTCAATTCCCAGGACTCCCCAGCCATCATGCTTTAAGAGGGATGACTTCAACTCCCAGGATTCCTGAGCCAGTATGCTTTAATCCAGTGTTTCCCAAACTTGACAATTTTAAGGCATGTGGACTTCAACTCCCAGAATTCCCCAGCCAGCAATGCTTTAAGAGGGGTGGATCTCAATTCCCAGGACTCCCCAGCCATCATGCTTTAAGAGGGATGACTTCAACTCCCAGGATTCCTGAGCCAGTATGCTTTAATCCAGTATTTCCCAAACTTGACAATTTTAAGGCATGTGGACTTCAACTCCCAGAATTCCACAGCCAGCATTGCTGGCTGTGGAATTCTGGGAGTTGAAGTCCACATGCCTTAAAATGGTCAAGGTTGAGAAACACTGAATTAGATCAAGCTTGCTTTGGAGTTACGGCGGGCAGGTTTGGAGCCTCATCGGTCACTGAGCAGCCCTTTCGGGTGATGAGGGCTTCTTGGGGTGGGGTGGGGAATCCTTTGTGCCCTCGGAGCTTTTGTGATTTTCTTACAGACGTTTCATGACCCAACTAGGGAACATCATCAGAACTAGAAGGGAGTGGAGTTTGTGGAGAGGAAGAGGACAACGGTGGGGTCTTGGGTGCTCCCTGAGCTTGGGGTTTTTCTTGCAGCTAAGCAACATCTGATCAGCAGAGGCAATGGGGAAGCTGCAAATGTGCTCAGGGAAGCGCAGATGAGCCGTGGCTAAGCAGTGTAGGTAATCCCTCTGCCCATGTCCTCTTCTTTCTCCAGCTTTTCTCGGCCCACGCCACCCCTGCGCTGACCACGATGGGGCTCTGCAAATGTCCCAAGAGGAAAGTCACAAACCTGTTCTGTTTTGAGCATCGGGTGAACGTCTGCGAGAACTGCATTGTCGCTAACCATGCCAAGGTAAATCGAATGCTTTGAAATTGAGAGTTTATGAGATTCTTCTAGTCTGACCCCCTATACCCTATATAGTACCATTTCAGACAAATAGCTGTCCAGTCTCTTCTTGAAAACCTCCAGTGTTGGAGCACCACAGCTTTGGAAGGCCAGCTGTTCTACTGGTTAATTGTTCTCACTGTCAGGAAATTCCTGCTTAGTTCTAGGTTGAATCATTTTGAACAAACTTCCACCCGTTACTTCTCATCCTGCCCTCCGATGCTTTGGAAACAAAGTCAATCTTCTCTTCTCTGTGACAGCTCCCGAGTACTGGAAGATGTTATCAAGTCACCCCCAATCCTTTGATAGGCTAATTAGATCTAGTCCACTTACGACCCCCCCAACCGGTCGTAAGTTGAGGACTACTCAACCAGTCGTAAGTCGAGGACTACTCAACTGGTGCAGCACCGTTTGCAGAATGGGGCTTTTTGCAGGCTCAGCAGGGCAGAGACAGCCTGGACAATTCCTATTGGCTTTTGAGAGCCCATAGAATTAGACTCTATTCAAGAGAGTCTATTCTATGGGCTTTCAAAAGCCCATAGAATAAAAGGGAGTAGCACAGCTAAGGAAAAGGGGGAAAAAATGGTGGACTGCGTTGTTTGGCGACCCCTGTGAAATGGTCGTTCGACCCCAAATGGGGTCCCGACCCACAGGTTGAGAACCACTGATCTAGTCAGTGATAACCTCTCTGCATGCAAGTAATTTGACTCTTCTGGCGCACTAAGCAAAAAACAAAAAAACCAAGAGTTTGGGAGATTTCAGGCAGACACAGCCTCCACTTAGTGACGGTCATAGGTTGTGTGTACACATGTTGCACTGACTCGCTGTCAGTCCACAGTCCTAAGATTGTCCCTTCCAGCCTCTTTTTCTAGGGCCAGTAAGGATGCCCAGGATTCTACAAGCAGTCCTCTTTTTACAACAGTTCATTGAGTGACCATTCAAAGTTACAACGGCTCTGAAAAAGGTGACATGACTGTTTTTCTCACTTCCGACTGTTGCAGCATCCCGTTGGTCACGTGATCAAAATTCTGCCACTTGGCAGCTGACTTGTATTTATGACAGTCACTTTTGTGATCCCCTTTTGGGAACTTCTGACCAGCAAAGTCAATTGGGAAGCCAGAAGGCAGGACAAGAAGCAACGGATGGAAACTCATCAAGGAGAGAATCAACCTGGAACTAAGGAGAAACTTCCTGACAGGGAGAACAATTAACCAGTGGAACAACCTGCCTCCAGAGGTGGTGAATGCTCCAACACTGGAGGTTTTTAAGAAAAGACTGGACAGCCTTTTGTCTGAAATGGTATAGGGTCTCCTGCCTGAGCAGGTGGTTGGACTATAAGACCTCCGAGGTCCCTTCCAATTCTATTACTACTGCTACTATTACTACTACTATTATCATCATCTTTTCAGCAGGGGGTAGACTAGAAGACCTCCGAGGTCCTTTCTAGTCCTCGGATCCTATGAAATAAACAGACTCCCCCCCTCCAATTTCCACCTGATCCCCTTGGCACAATTGTTTATTTTTCTGGGTTTTTTTTTTTTTCAGTGCATCGTCCAGTCGTACCTGCAGTGGCTTCAAGACAGCGATTACAATCCCAACTGCCGGTTGTGTAATGTGCTTCTTTCCAATAAAGAGACGGTTCGGCTTGTGTGTTACGGTTAGTAGAAACTCTCCGGGCATTGTGCCAGACAGGCTTCCCCTTCTGTGGCTCCCCAAAACGCTATCTGGGACGGGATACATTGGGGCTCTCCTCTCCCACCCTTTTAGGACAGGAGTCTCCCAGCTTGGCGACTTTGAAGACTTGCGGACTTCAACTCCCAGAATTCCTCAGCCAGCTTCGCAACTTGGAAGGCTTGCGGACTTCAACTCCCAGAATTCCTCAGCCAGGTTGGCTGAGGAATTCTGGGTGTTGAAGTCTGCAAATCTTCAAAGTTACCCAGTTTGGAGACCCTTGGTGTTGGGAGACTGGCAGAAATGTTTCCCCGTTTCCAAGCTATAAAGGGCCCAGTGGATTTTCATTATCCAAGGTTTGATTGCAATTCCCATGATTTTATTTGATTTTACTGTCATCTCCATAGACTGCTATTAACCATGAAGATTTCATCTAGTCATCTAGGTCATGGTGGTCCCAAAGATGCTTTTTTCCAAAAGGCAGCTAGACTTCCTTTGGGTTTTCCTCGAAAACGTTTCGCTTCTCCTCCAAGAAGCTTCTTCAGTTCTGACTGAATGGTGGGGAATAGAAGGATTTATATTCTTTGGAGCCATCCGGTCATTAGCCCTCTGGGAGTTAGTCATTAGGGAAAAAAAACCAATTTATAGATGGCATTTGGATCCCCAAAAGTTGTCCCGCTTGTATCCAAATTTACAGCCCAAACGTTGGAGATGTGGAAATTTAGATGCAACTTATTTTCACATTTGGTGGACTTGTAGAGATATTAAAGCTTTTTGGATTAAGATTTGGTGGAATATTCAAAAGATTTTTAAGAAAAAGATAAAGTTTACTCCACAATTACTTTTGTTGGGTATTATTGTAGATTTGGATGTTAAAGAAACTAATTTGATGTTGAACCTTATAATGGGGCAATTTTGGAAGAAAAACTTACTGCCTACTTTGGAAGAATGGATACTTAAAGTGTCTAATTTAGCAGAAATGGCGAAAATCTCCGCCTATTTGAAGGACCATTCACAAAAAAGATATATTACGGTTTGGAGAAGATGGATTCATTATATTCAGAAGAAGTATGAAACTCAAAAGTATTATCTTGCTTTTGAGTAGATCTTAGATAATTATTAATAGTTTTAATTATATTATTATTTTTGTTTTAATTTGCTAATATTTGTTTTGAAGGAGTTAACGTGTGTTATGGTTTTGATTGAGAGTATAGTTGGTTTATGTTAGTTAGATTATGTTTGTTTATTTGTTACCCTGTAATCAGCTCTGGGAAGTGGGGGAGGGGGGGAAGAGGGCTTTATATTGTAATTTGTAAAACTTTTAATTAAAGAAAAAAAAAGAAAAAAAACCCAAGAAAGTCCAGTTGTCTTTTCAATAAGCACCACGACCTGGATGATCGAGCATCTCCATAGACGCGCGGCCTCTTTGCGCAGCGCCATCAAGACAGGACTTTGCTTTAAAGCTTTAACGGTGCCTCTTCCCTCTAGATCTCTTTCACTGGTCCTGCCTCAATGAGATGGCCAACCAGCTGCCCCAGAACACGGCCCCCGCCGGCTACCAATGTCCCTCTTGCCAGGGTCCCGTCTTCCCTCCCACCAACTTGGTCAGTCCAGTTGCGTCTGCCCTCCGAGAGAAGCTCTCAACTGTCAACTGGGCTCGGGCCGGACTCAGACTTCCCCTGGTAAGAAACGAATCCGGCCATCTTAGAGCTGCTTCACGGGCAATTTGGACAGCAGCCAGGTCAAGTTAGACCAGTGTTTCTCAACCTTTTTAATGCTGCGACTCCCAACCAGTCGTAAGTCGAGGACTACTCAACCGGTCGTAAGTCGAGGACTACTCAACCGGTGCAGCACCGTTGGCAGACTGGGGCTTTTGGCGGGCTCAGTAGGGCAGAGACAGCCTGGATAATTCCTATTGGCTTTGGAAAGCCAATAGAATTAGACTCTATTCAAGAGAGTCTATTCTATTGGCTTTCAAAAGCCGATAGAATAAAAGGGAGGAGCACAGCTAAGGAAAAGGGGGGAAAAATGGCGGACTGCGTTGTTTGGTGACCCCCGTGAAATGGTCGTTCGAGCCCAAATGGGGTCCCGACCCACAGGTGGAGAACCACTGCTTTATGGTAAGATGGGTGTCCAACTAATTTTATAAACAAACAAAAAAACATATCCAGGATGTCTCTAAGAGTCAAATCAAAGCACCCTTCATTTGGACTTTCTTTCTCTCCAGATCCCACTAGATCATTAACCTCGATTTGGGGGGGTTGTTTGTTTTTTTTCTGCTCAGATTGATGAAACGGAGGTGACTCAAGAGATGGATACTCACAGTGCCTCAGAGTGCAGCGACTGGTCCAGCTTCACAGGTGAGCATTATGAGCTCAGGAGAGCATTTCTTCACCTTAGCCATTTTTAAAATGAGAGGACTTCAATTCCCAGAATTCTTCAGTCAGCTGGCTAGGGACTGTTGGGGGCTGAAGTCCACTCATCTTAAAAATTACTAAGGGGGAGAAACCGTGTGAAAAGCTAGATGGGGACCATGTCATCATGTTCTTGGCACGGGAGATCTCTTTGAGTTTTCTGGTAGAAGCTACCACCTATCCCTGGTGTATCCCTGAGCTGTGGTGGCTTTCGACAGTTCAAGTCTCACCAGCTCAAGATTGACTCAGTGTCCTATCTTTCTGAAGTTGATAAAATGAGGACCCAAATTGTTGGGAGGAGGCAATATGCTGACTTTGTAAACCGCTTAGAGAGGGCTGTAAAGCACTGTGAAGCGGTATATAAGTCTAAGACGTGCTATTGCTAATTCCATCAAGAGCACAAGCCTCAAATTCCATTTAAGTGGAGACTGGCCATCCATAGTTTGTGCCTTAGAAGCATCTGGGTTTCAAAATACGTTAAATTATTCTGTTCATCGGGTTGTTTTTCACCCATCTTTCTTATAAGCAAAAAAAAAAAAAATCCTCTTTCATGTCTCTGGCCAATCTTACTTGAGGAAAAAAGCGAACATCCTTGCACTTTAAATGCCTCCAAGCCCCCTCCCCCATCCATTTTTTTTACACTTGCAAATAAATTGTCCCCCGAATGCTTTTCATTGCACATTGAATCATAAATGAATCAAAGGCTGGCACAGCCTGCTAAGCACCCCACCCCACCCCCACCCCGAGTCCCTGTGATTACAACTCATCCTGCTTAGCAATGTTGTGAAAACAGTCACTCTAGCACAGGGGTCCTCAACCCGTGGGCCACAGCCAGGTTACTGGGCTGCAACCTGTTTGAAACCGGGCTGCGCAAGCAGCAGACGCACGCAGCTCCATGTGCTTGAGCGGCAGGCACTCGTGCGTGCACAATCCAGTGCCTAAATTCAGCCACAATCAGGCTAGGTTATATCTTCCTTTATTGATCCATACATTGATTTATGTGCTGCGTCCTCAGGGCTCAGCAGCCTACAAAAATGCATACAGTCCTATAATTCCCAGAAAACTCAACACCTAACAGCAGAGCAAAATGCTAAGCATTTCAGAAACCCCACTTCTCACTGGAGCCCAAGCTGTTCTTCCTCTGCCTTCTCTTTTTTTTCTCTCTCTCTTCCCAGGCCTAAATTCAGAAGAAGCCGCTTCACAGACTTCGGCGTCCGTTTTTGCCTACAGTGCGAGTGGCCACTTTGAGTCCCCGCAACAGCAACAGCAAAACCTGAAGAACGGCAACGTTGCAGACCAACACACAATTGTCAGCATGGGTGATGGGGGTAGAGACCTTCTCGCCATCAATGCAGGTCGGCAGTATTGAAAGGGAGGGAGATAAATTGATTTTTTTCTGGGGGGGGAGGTGTTGTCACCCAGCTTGTAGCAGTATCCTCCTTCGGCAGTCCCAATAAAAGTCAGCATTTCCTGCCGACGTTTGATCTTTGGCTTATCCTTGCTTAGAATCTGGAGTGCCTTTATTTGATGACAGATCAATCCTTCATTCTTTATCACGCGGAACCCTAAGGAACTCCTCACAGACTCAAGTGGGGAAAAAAAAATCTGGATACAAGTTCACAAAGACTTTGGAGGGTTTTTTTCCCACCTCTGTTCGTAATTTCTCTGGGGATACAGGGGGGGAAAAAGCTCCTAAGATAAAGAGGAAGGAGAAGAAAGCATAAAATGGCTCTGTGCTGCTGCTGTTTGCTTGTCGATATCCTACAGAAGGGCAAGGAAGAAGAACTTTAAGCATCGTGGCCAGTTTGCATAATGGGGAGGATTGTCCAGTCTGCCGTTTGATTTCCCAGACTTTTTCTTTTCTTTTCCTTACACCATCATGATTCGTACGGTTGAGTTTACATCAGTGTTTCCCAAACTTGACAATTTTAAGGCCTGTGGACTTCAACTCCCAGAATTCTGGGAGTTGAAGTCCACAGGCCTTAAAATTGTCAAATTTGGGAAACACTGGTTTACATGATAGCACTACACTGTTCTTACTTGGTTTCGTATAATCAATTATACAGAATTTCTCGGGCAAAACTACGAGAGGTTTTTTGGGGGGGCAGGGGGGCAAGAAAGGGTGGCTATTTTCCTCCCAGCCTTCCCTTCTCTTTGCCTGCAGCCTCCTCGTCGCGGAAAATTTACGACACCCGGGAAGCTGGGGTTGGCCAGGACTCAAGCGCCACCATCGACTTTGACGAGGACAAATACCGGCGCAGGCCGACGCTCAGCTGGCTCGCCCAGCTGCTCAAGTGAGTCCCGGCGGTCCCGAGAGTTGCCTGCGGTAGAAAGCAGCAGAGGCTAGAGAAGGGCCAAGAGCGATGGGAGGCCACACGGGAGGAAGGCCACAAAATGAAGCGGAAGGCCTAGTTTCCTCAAGCGGTTCTCTGGGTCGCGTGAGCTGTTCGCGGGCTCGAAAAACGGGCCGCTCTCTCTTCCGAAGCGCGTTGCCAGACTCTGCCTCGCTTCCACGCCGGTTGCGGGTCTATGGAGATGCTCGACCCTCCAGGTCACGGTGGTGCCAAAAGGCAACGGGGCTTTCGTGGATTTGCCTCCTTGAAAACGTTCCGCTTCTCATCCGGCACTGAAGCAGCTCCTTGGAGGAGAAGCGAAATATTTTCAAGGAGAGAAAAAGAAACAAACGGGAAAGTCCAGTTGCCTTTTGAAAGCGCCCAGATGGGATTCCAAGCCGGTTGTAAGTACAATTCCGATCTGGCGGACCTGGAGACACTTCGGGTTCTGCTCTCTTGATGATTCCGGATTCTCTCCTTGGCAGCGTCCTCATTCCTCTGTTCGTAATTTCTCTGGGGATACAGGGGGAAAAAAGCTCCTAAGATAAAAGAGGAAGGAGAAGAAAGCATAAAATGGCTCTATGCTGCTGCTGCTTGCTTGTCAATATCCTACAGAAGGATCCTACAGAAGGTCTGCTCCTTGGCGCAGGATCCAGCTTGTGGGATCTCACGGCGAGCCAGCCAACCGTTGCAAAGCTCTCCCAGTGGGCAAAATCCAATTCACATTCCCAAAGTGAGGGGGAGCAGCTTTATCTTCTCTTTCGTTTTGTCTGCAGGAACCGCTTTGGCACCCGAAAGCAGCCACGCTCCTTAATGCAGAGGTTTGTCATCTTTCTCCTGATCGGCGGGATCGGCTTCCTGACGCTCGTCGTCGTCATGATGAAACTCGGCCGGGCCTCGGCGGACAACGACCCGAGCCTGGATCCCAAGTTCAACCCTCACATCCGAGTGGGACAGTAGCGAGTAGGGTTGGCCTCTCCTTTGTCACGTGGCCCCGTACCCCCGCTCTCGGCTCTTGGCAGCTCCTTGGCAAAGCTGCACCCCAGAGGGAGGCCTGGGGTTGCATCTGCTGGGTGGGTCTCCCGGGAGCTTCCCAGCCTGGACAGACAAGGTTGTTGGGACCCCTTTGAAGTTTGGATGAAGGCATGCCAGTTAAAAGATGGTCCATCTCTTTCTCTTCTCCCCCCCCCAGTCCGATGGGAGTTGCAAATGATGCGTTTTGTTGCCCCGATGGGCAGTTTTATGCAGAAAGGGCTGGCGGGCCATTAAGGGGCAGGATTGAACTGGCAATTTTAAAGAGAACAATGGCTCCCCTTCTAGTTTTCTTCTCTACTGCTACTCGGTAGGGGTAGGTGGGCAAAAGAGGTCCTGGTCTCTCTTCTCACGCCCCGGGTTCCACTCGTGCTCGGCTGAGGAAATATCCTCTGGGTCCTTCCTTGCGGTTCAGTGATTTCCCCGTTGCTTTGTTTTCCTTCTTCAAAGGTGGTTTGAGACTGCAGTGATTGACTGGGAGACAGTTGTGCTCACCCAACCCGTAGCAATTCTTACTAAAGAGCGCGGCCAAGTTTGAGGATTTCTACATCACGTAACAGGACCTCCTCTCCTAAATCCATGTTGAGGCTTGTGCACAAGCTGCCCTTGGTTGCAGGGACACCAGAGCACCATTGCCCCCCAAAAAGAGAGCTCTGTGTAAGCTGGAGCAACACCTGTTTGCACCCCACCTCGGTCCTTTTCCTTAACACAGCTAGTTTGCTGTTTGCTCTCTGCTGCTTTCCCTCCAATTACCTGCTAGATATGGAAAGTCAGTTGTCTTTTGAGAGCCCCAAGACGTGTGTCTTTCTAGGCCCTTGGGCTTGGGGGCCATTCTGTAGGACCCAAAGGCTGCATCCACAGCCTTTCTCTGCAACCCAGGGGTTGAAAAGGTCCAGGGTTTGATTGGCAGGTGGTTTGAAGTGCTGTGGAGATGAGAGGTGGACGGTTCTTCCGTACTTATGAATTGCTTTACTTGATAAGTCAGACAAGACACATTAAAAAAAGAAGGCCCGTTATATTATGCCCCACTTGTCCTCTTGGTTCCAGATAACCTTCTGCCTTCCAGGTTCACCTCTGACAACATCTCTACTCTGTTTAAACTTTAGTTTCTCGGGGGCGGGACCAGGGGGGGCAGCAACCTTGTCTTCTCCAGAACCACCTTTCTCTGGTCTTTGCAGATTGGGTGGGCCGATAGCTTTACTCAAAGCGATGGTCCAGGTCCATTTTGGAGGGGGGGGGCACCTGGTGGAAAAAAGGCTTCTCTCGTCCCAGAGGTCCAGTCAAGAAAGGGGAGGCAAGACCCCTCTGTCCACCATCCTTTGCAGGAGAGGTGTGGGCTGGTGGAACGACGGTGAATGATCTGCAAGGTTTATTTCTTGCCTCCGTGGACGGTGGATGTAGGACGGAGAGAGTGCAAAGCTGTGGCACATTGAAGCAATAGAGACATTTGTCAATACTCCATTAAACTCTCTTGGCTGATCCTAACGGGTGGCGGTTACTCCTCTGTCGCTCCTTCAGAGGGACCGGCTCTTCTTATGCCTGGCTCCTTTTGATCATTCGTATTTTTCTTCCCTGTAATCAATAGTGAGATAGTCCATCCAGAATCGGGCAATATACAGAGCTAAATTCACGACTGGATGAAAAGGAAAGGATTTGTTTATTCATTTATCCATGCCTTCGTTTACATCCCACTTTTATTTTGACAAATAAAACTCAAGGCAGTGAACATATCCACCTCCTATTTCCCCTTCGACAACTACCCTGTGAGGTGGGCTGGGCTGAAAGACGGACTGGCCCAAAGTCACCTATCTGGTTTTCGTGCTTAAGACAGGACTAGAACTCACTGTCTCCTAGTGATTGGCCCAAAGTCAGCCAGCCAGCTTTTATGGCTAAAGCAGGACTAGAACTCAGTCTCCTAGTGATTGACCCAAGATCACCCAGCTGGCTTTCATGTCTAAGGCAGGACTGTTGTGGTGATTCCCCACAACAGTCTTGTGAAGTGGATTGGGCTGAAACCGAAGTATTGGCCCAAAATCACCCATGCTGGCTTTCCTGTCTAAGGCGGGGCTAGAATTCGCCGTCTCCTAGTGATTGGCCCAAAGTCACCAGCTGGATTTTGTGCCTCGGGAGAGACGAGGACTCGCCATCTCTTGCTTTCCATCCTGGTGCCTTAACCACTAGACCAGGTTGGGCAACTATCGCCTATATATAACCTGTGGACTTCAACTCTCAGAATTTGGAACTTGGAAAATTGGTTGCGGCAGGAAAAAAATAAAAAATAATGTAGGTCAGTGCTTTGCAACGGTGACAACGTTAAGTGTGGACTTCAATTCCCAGAATTTCTCAACCGGTACTGCTGGCTGGAGAATTCTGGGAGTTGAAGGCCACAACATTTAAAGCAGGGGTAGTCAACTTTGGCTCTTTTATGACTCGTGGACTTCAACTCCCAGAATTCCTCAACCAGTACTGCTGGCTGGAGAATTCTGGGAGTTGAAGGCCACAACATTTAAAGCAGGGGTAGTCAACTTTGGCTCTTTTATGACTCGTGGACTTCAATTCCCAGAATTCCTCAACCAGTACTGCTGGCTGGAGAATTCTGGGAGTTGAAGGCCACAACATTTAAAGCAGGGGTAGTCAACTTTGGCTCTTTTATGACTCGTGGACTTCAATTCCCAGAATTCCTCAACCAGTACTGCTGGCTGGAGAATTCTGGGAGTTGAAGGCCACAACATTTAAAGCAGGGGTAGTCAACTTTGGCTCTTTTATGACTCGTGGACTTCAACGCCCAGAATTCCTGAGCCAGCTAGGCTGGCTCAGGAATTCTGGGAGTTGAAGTCCACGAGTCATAAAAGCCAAGGTTGACTACCCCTGCTTTAAAGTATGCCACCTGCAGAATTCTGGGAGTTGAAGGCCAGACTTCTAAAGTTGCCAAGATTAGGAAACACTGGCCTAGATGGTAGAGGGATTGGAAACTAAACCATAGCTAAAAGAAGCTGACTTGTTGCCCTAGGAATTCACAGTTCCTCCTCTACATCATCATCACCATCATCATCATTCTCTTACCAAAGGAAGTCAGGGCTAAGCACGTCAGGAAGCCATCATCCGCTTGCAAAGTGTAGATGCTGGCTAGGAGGGCCAAATAAAAGCTGGTCACATGGGAGAACTGTCAGAAACCCAAAGAAGAAGGGAGAAAAAAATGAATGGTCTCCCGTTGCAAAGAGCAGAGTCTTTGTCCTACCTTCTTCAATGTTTTAAAAATATCATTTTAATTTTTTTTAAGACAACAGGAAGATGGTTATGCTACCCCTCAGAAACGGTAACCTCTCACACCCTGTCAATTCACAGCAGGGCTCTTCAACTTGGCAACTCTAAGACTTGTGGACTTCAACTCCCAGAATTCTTCAACCAGCATGGTTTGCCAAGGAATTCTGGGATCTGAAGTCCCACAAAGTTTTAAAATCGCCACGGTTGGAGACCTCCTGATTTACAGGAATAACTTGGGTTCCCCTCCCCAAGGGCCTTCAGGAATGGCAAAGGCAGTGCTTTTTTTCTTTAAAAAAAAAAGGTGCCTCTTTTCTCCGGCCTGTTCTTTCTGACACCCCAGCTAGAGGTTATCTATCCCCTTTGCCTCATGTTCTCCTCTGTGGGATGGTTGGGCTGCAGAAGAGGGGAAGCAAGAAGATCCGTTACCAGCAGCGATACAGTGAAGTGGAAGCTCATGAGATCTCCTCTTTGAGAGACCAGGAAGTGGTAGAGATCCCCGACGATCACTCCCATGTGGATGACGAACAGGACCCAAGAGCCAATGATAAAGATGACCTTGCTTGGGAAGGTGACCGTTAGGAACGGGTCTTTCCAGGATCCCATTTGCGGCATTTTGGGGAGCTGGGTTCTCCTTAGTCTTAGAGGACCTGTGGGGAAGGCAGCCCTTCCTGGAGGAGGTGGATCTCACAAGAGAGCCTGGGCTGATGAAGTCATAAGGATGCAGAGATTCTAGAAGCCAGATGATTGGCAGCCTTTTCCCCAAAGCAGGTGGGTATTGGGCATCGCCCGACAGCAGGTATGGATGACCAAGACAAGCTTGAAAGTCACCTGTGGGATTCGTTGTCTAGTTTGAATAAACAATCACCAGGCCAAAACTTCCAAGAGAAAACAGTGCTAATTTATTTGTACTACTTTGCAAAGAGGATGTATCACGTACACACAGGTACAGTGGACACACCTTAAATCATTAATATCCTTTCTTTATATTTCCTATTGCCATTGCAAATTCACCTCCCAACTTTGCCATCACAACCTATCCGAAGTGCCTAAGTGAATGCATTATCTCTGCCCCTGATTACATCTCCCATTATTCAAATTCTATCGCCCTTATTTACAAATTACCTTTTATGGCTACTAGTTCCTAGGGGGTTGTCTCTGAAGTAACTATCAGGTCAGCCAAGTCTGGTTAAAACCTGGTTTTTAGCATAGCAGAGGCCTTCCTACATACAATTCTCAAACTTCGGCCAGACTCATTAGAAATATATACAATATATTTTCTTCACAGGCTAGCATGTCTTCTTACAGTTCTGTAAAAACAATAAGCTCTTTTTCCCACATATCCAAGCACCGTGGATTAAGTAATACTGGCAAATGAGCGTAGGAAGTCATGGTCCATGCATCACTTAAGCAGTGATTGAAATAGAAGCCCCTTCAATAACAAGACAACTTTCAAAAAAATCTTGAAATACTGCATGCATTTCTGGTCGCCATAATACAAAAACAAAAACAGGCTCGGACTCCAGAAAGTGCAAAGAAGAGTAACAAACATGATGAAGAATCTGAAGGCTAAAACGTACAATGGACAATTGAGAAAACGAGGTATGTCTGGTCTAACAAAACAGAAGGACTAGGGATGAGTGGTCTTCCAGTACTTTGGGCAGAGGGCTGGACTAGATGACCTCCAGGGCCAAATTTGAAGACCCCCGGGTCTAATCAGTATTTCTCAGCCTTGGCAGTTTTAAGATGGGTGGACTTCAACTCCCAGAATTCCTCAGCTAGCGTGCCTGGCTGAGGAATTCTGGGAGTTGAAGTCCACAAGTCATAAAAGGGCCAAGTTGGAAGACCCCTGCTGAATGGAATGAAACTATGACTGGTTTTATAACCCGCCTTTGCAATATGCTTGGAGAGCAATCCAGAAATAGTGAAAACATTAAATACAGGTAGCCTTTCACGTGTGACCCCAGTTGGAACCAGTCATAAAAAGGCCAAGTTTGAAGACCCCTGCCATATAGCATTAATCTTGTGAACTCTCAAGCTTCCTCCTCCCGTTATATATTCAAGATGGACAGTAATATTTGTGGTGTATATGTAGGGGTGTGGGTCTGTACATATGTTGTATATAGTATATTTAGGTGTGTGTCATGTCATGTTTCACTTCGAGAGCGGGCAACTACGCTGGCTGAGGGATTCTGGGACATGAAGTCCACAAGCCTTAAAGTGGTCACGCTTGCGGGCCGCGGAGCTAGGCGGAACCTTTCCGGAAGTGCGAGGAGCGGCGCGTCTCCATGGAGACAGGCGGAGTTTCCGGTTACGTCAGCCCCGCGACGGAAGTGCCTCCCCCACGGCAGCCCGGGCGCTTTTCCATGGCGGCGGCTCAGCCCGAAGGCGGCGCGGAGCCTCCGGGCGAGAAGCGGCGGCCGCACGGGATGCTGAAGCTCTACTACGGGCTGCCGGACCCGGCGGGCGAGGCTTTGGCCGACCCGGCCAGGGGCGACCTGGGCGGCCCCACCGACATCAACGGGCCCCACTTCGACCCGGAAATCTACCTTACCAAGGTGGGAGGGGGGCGGGGCTTGGGACACGCCCCTCTGCCGAAGGGGCTTCTGAGCGCGTGCAGAAGGCCCGCGCTGCTCGAGGACGGCCCTTTCGCGTTGCTTTTCGCCTTCCCCATCCTCTAGGAGGACTACAGCCCCCATCGTCCCCTTTGGCCACCCTAGGGCTGGAAGGGACCCTGGAGGTCATCTAGTCCAGCCCTCTGCCCAAAGACAAGACTCCTTATTCCATCCCGGTTGTCCAGTTTCTTCTTGGCCCTGGAGGGTTATGGAAGCTACACGCCATCCATCCCGGTGGGCCCTGGGTAGAAAAGAGCTGGGGCCAGTTGCAGGGGAGACAGATTGGCAGCTTAATCTAGGCTGGGGGAGGAGAGGGGAGGATTCAGCCTATTCTCCAAAGCAGCAGAAGGCAGGACAAGAAACAGCGGATGGAAATTAATCAAGGGGAGAAGCAACCTGGAGTTAAGGAGAAACTCCCTGACAGCGAGGACAATTAACCAGTGGAACAGCTTGCCACCAGAAGTTGTGGCTGCTCCATCACTGGAGGCTTTTAAGAAGAGAATGGACAGCCGTTTGTCCTGGATGGTATAAGGCAGGGCTCTTCAAACTTGGCCCTTTTGTGACTTGTGGACTTCAACTCCCAGAATTCCTCAGGCAGGCACGCTGGCTGAGGAATTCTGGGAGTTGAAGTCCACAAGTCATAAAAGGGCCAAGTTAGAAGACCCCTAGTATGTGGTCTCCTGCTTGAGGACTCGATTAGACTAGAAGACCTTCTGTTATTTTGTGTTTTAAATTCTGGACTTTGGAGTTAAATGGGAGGGGTGTGTGTCATAAAATCAGACCTGTATTAGATCGGTGGTTAGAGTGCAACATTGCAGGCTAACACTGCTCACTCAGTTCGATCCTGACCGGCTCAAGGTTGACTCGGTCTTCTATTCTTCCGAGGCCGTAAAATGAGGACCCAGATTGTTGGGGGCAAGAGGCTGACTCTGTAAACTGCTTAGAGTGGGCTGTAGAGCACTGTGAAGCGGGATATAAGTCTAAGCGCTATTGCTGTTCTATTCCTATTCTTATTCCTATTCTACTGTTCTATTGCCATGGTGGTGCAGTATTTAGAATGCAGCTTTGCAGGCTTGCTCAATGCCAGCAGTTCAATCCTGACCGGCTCCAAGTTGACTCAGCCTTCCATCCTTCTGTGGTGGGCAAAATGAGGACCCAGATTGTTGTGGGCAAGATGCTGACTCTATAAACCGGCTAGAGAGACTGTAAAACCACTGTGAAGTGGTATATAAGTCTAAGTGCTGTTGCTAAAAAAAAAAAAACTGTCTCAAAGTCTTGGTCTTCCTCAATGAGTATTCCCTCTCCGTAGATGTTGATTTGGTCTCAGCTTTTTTCTGCCAATCTTACAATCTTGCAATAAAGACAAAAGAACCAGCGAAGCTGTTTTCTGCCACCAGAAAACATATTATTTTTTTCTCTTATCAGCTGCGGAAAGAATGCCCTTTGGCTCAGCTGATGGACTGTGAGACAGACATGGTGAAGCAGATCCGAGCCCTGGATAGTGACATGCAGACCTTGGTCTATGAGAATTACAACAAGTTCATTTCAGCCACAGGTAATGTGGGGAAGGGGATACCTTGCCCTGTGGAATGTATAAAGACTTGAAAATTGATGCTTTTCACATAAAGCATCATAAGTGGTTTAGGACTGTGTTGCCTGAAAAACTGTCTTTAGATGTACAGGTCAGTCCTCGACTGGGGGATGAATTTTTATGATTATGCAGTATGATTCTCTGGGAATGTTCAGCATTGCAAAGGAAGCCTGTCAAGCCCCCTCCCCTGAGAAGTCCACGGGAGTTGGGTGAGATTGCAGGCCTTTGTAGTGGCTCCCATGCTTCTGGAGCAGTGGTTCTCCACCTGTGGGTCGGGACCCCATTTGGGGTCAAACGACCATTTCACGGGGGTCGCCAAACAACGCAGTCCGCCATTTTTTTCCCCTTTTCCTTAGCTGTGCTACTCCCTTTTATTCTATTGGCTTTTGAAAGCCAATAGAACAGACTCTCTTGAATAGAATCTCATTCTATTGGCTTTCAAAAGCCAGTAGGAATTGTCCAGGCTGCCTCTGCCCTGCTGAGCCTGCCAAAAGTCCCATTCTGCAAACGGTGCTGCACCGGTTGAGTAGTCCTCGACTTACGACCGGTTGAGTACTCCTCGACTTATGACCGGTTGGGGGGTCGCGGCATTAAAAAGGTTGAGAACCACTGCTCTGGAGGTAGAGGAGAAAAAACCCTGCCGAAATACTTTTTTTCTGTCATGCTTTTGACCCTAATTGCGAGCATTTCATCTGAGTATATTTCATCTTTTGCGGTAATCATAGAGTTGTATTTCTCATTGTGTTCTCTTTCATTGTTTAGTTTATTGTTCTGTTATTTTCTGTTCTGTTCACGCTCTTGTCATTTCTTCTTTTTATTGTTGTAAGCCACCTAGAATAAACCCATGCAAGACAAAAACATATGAAGAACAGTTGCAGGAATTGGGTTTGGCCAGTCTAGAGAAAAGAAGGGACTGGGGGGGGGACATGATAGCAGCATTCCAGTATTTGAGGGGCTGCCACAAAGAGGAGGGGGTTAGCCTATTTTCCAAAGCACCTGAAGGCAGGAGAAGAAGCGACGAATGGAAACTCATCAAGGAGAGAAGCAAACTGGAATTAAGGAGAAACTTCCTAAAAGTGAGGACAATTAATCAGTGGAACTTGCTTGTCTTCAGACGTTGTGGGTGCTCCAACACTGGAAGCCTTTAAGAACAGACTGGACAGCCACTTGCCTGAAATGGTATAGGGTCTCCTGTTTGGACAGGGGGTTGGACTAGATGACCTCCAAGGTCCCTTCCCACTCTGTTATTCGGTTACTCCTTTCCTTTCCCCCCGCTAGACACAATCCGCAAGATGAAGAACGACTTCAAGAAGATGGAAGATGAGATGGATTGCCTGGCTGCCAACATGGCCGTGATCACCGAGTTTAGCGCCAGCATCAGTGGGACCCTGCAGGATCAACACGAGCAGATCACCAAGCTGTCTGGTGGGTGTGTCTTAACAACCATCTTGCTTAGCAACGGAAATTTTGGCTGTAAGTGGTCATAAGCCGAGGACTGCCTGTACGCAACCGGCACATTTGGCAGAAATTCACTGGCAGATGTAGCAACGCCGCTTACCACTTTGAGAGGAATGTGTTAGTTCCCAAACGGAGAAGAGCATAACCCGTGTCTCTTGATCTCCCAACCCCAGGAGTCCATGCGCTGCTGCGCAAGCTACAATTCCTGTTTGAGCTTCCGGCCCGCCTCACCAAGTGCGTGGAGCTGGCGGCCTACGGGCAAGCGGTCCGGTACTACAGCAAAGCCCGCTGCATCCTCCACCAGTACCAACAGATGCCCTCCTTCCGGGGCATCCAGGACGACTGCCAGAAGATCATGGCTGACCTCGCTCAGAAGCTTCGGGAGAAATTCCGGTAGGCATCCAGAGGAGGCAGTGAGACTAGGGCAGGGCTTTTCAACCAGTGGTACGGGTACCACCTGTGCTACATTGGCACCTGGCAGGTGGTACGCGACCATCCTAGAAAAATGGTAGTGGGGGAAGGGAATGAGCTGAACCGGGGGCAGCACCGCACAAGCCTGAGCGAGAGACGGCTGGAGCTGCAGGGCTGTCAGGGCTCAGCAGAAGCACCAGGATCAGTGCCGCTTTCCAGCTGATTGGCACTTTGGGGCTGTCAGGGCTCAGTGGAAGCACCAGGATCAGTGCCAGGCTCCAGCTGCAGCTCAGCACTGATCCTGATGCTTCTGCTGAACCCAGAAGAAGTGCCGATTAGCGGGAATGTTGCAGCCTCTCCAGGGTCTTGTGATTTACATTCAGATGCTTGGCAACTGATTCATATTTATGACGGTCACAGTGTCCCAGGGTCATGTGACGTGAACAAAACCTGCTGCAACCACCCAGCAGACGGGGGGGAATAAAAACCAAACACCCCCTCACCCCCGCTGCCAATCCTCAACAAAAATGCTCACAACAATGAAAACCTCGGACAGGAGGAAGAGCGCCGCCAGGTGGGCGGGCAGGTGTGTCTTGCTCGACTGTGGCTTGTGGGCACTTTTTTGAGTGCCATTGTAACTTCAGTCACTAAGCGAACTGTTGTACGTCGAGGACTACCTGTACTTTATCACTTTTGTCCTTTTTTTTTTGGTCATCAAGTTTTTGACACCTTGCTAGGCGACTGGTGGTATTCGGATGTTGCCATATCCTAAAAGTGGTTCAATGGATGAAAAGGTTGAAAAGCCCTGGACTAGGGGAGCCGGTTGGCCCGGAAGGTCACTGAATTCGCAGAGGGCTAAAACAGCCCAGCCACAAGCTTTTGCAACTTGGGTGGCCTTCTGACCAGCAAAGTCGGACTCACTTAACAACCGGGTTACTAATTTAACCACTGCAGTGATTCCCTTAACAACTATGGCGAGAAAAGTCATGAAATGGGGCAAAACTCGCTTAACAAGCATCTCACTGAGCAACATAAATGTTGGACTCAATTGTGGTCATAAGCCGAGGACTACCAGTATAAAAGGGCCGGTGAGATAAATAAATGTTAAATAAAATGTACTTCGAAAGTACATTTCTTAATTAAATCGCCTGAAAGAAATCAATTTGGGGAAGTGATGCTACAACCAATTGTGGTTGTATGTTGAGGACAACCTGTAAATTGCAGGGTGTTCACTTATGACCGCAACAGAGTCCAAAATTTATGTTGCTAGGTGAGATTTGTTAAGTGAATCTTGCCCCATTTTATGACCTTGCTTGCCACTGTTGTTAAGTGAATCACTACAGTTGTTAAGTTAGTAGCACGGCTATTAAGTGAATCCAGCTTCCTCATTGACTTTGTTTGTCAGAAGGTCACAAAAGGGGATCACGTGATCCCGGGACACTGTGACCCGTCATAAGTACTAGTCAGTTGCCAAGCGTCTGGGTTTTGATCATATGACCACAACGATGCTGCAATGGTTGGAAAAGTGAAAAACAGTTATAAGTCATTTTCTCCGGTGGTGTTGTAACTTCGGTCACGAAACAGACTGTTGTAAGTCGAGGACTCCTTCTAGTTGAGCCTTCTGATGAGTCCCCCTGTTTTGTTTTTCTCCAGGGATGGAGGCTCAGGTGCCAAGGACTTAGCTGAATGTGTGGAACTGCTGCTGCAGCTGGGTGAGCCGGCGGAAGAGCTGTGCGACGAATTCCTCTCCCACGCCCACTGCCGGCTGGAGGCTGAGCTGCGGAACCTGGAGGCCGAACTGGGCGACGGGCTGCATTTCGGGGCGGGCGGCCCAGCCACCGACATCCTTGAATTCACGGACCGCGGGTGCAACAGCTTCGTCAGCAACCTCTGCCTGGTGATTGCCTCCTACCAGGAGCTGTTCATCAACCGGGAGGGCGCCCAGGGCATCGCCCACATGGCTCACGACAAGCTGGTGGCCTTTGTCGACGGCCTGATGGCGCGCTACTTCGCCCTGGTGGAGAGGCGCATTCAGCTGGAAAAGGGGGTGGGCGACAACTCGCTGCTGGTGCGGGCGCTGGACCGCTTCCACCGGCGCCTGCAAGCCCTGGCCAGGCTTTTGCCAGCCTCGCAGGCAGCAGCCGTAGGGACGGAGATCGTGGTGCGGGCAGCCAAGGAGCGCATCCGACAGTACCTGCAGGCCTTGGAGAGCTTCTACCTGGACTGCCTGACGGACGTGCGCCAGTCCTTGGCTGCCCCTCGCCTGGTGGGGAAGGAGAATCCCAGCCTGGCAGAGCTGCTGGGCACCATCTCGTCTTCCATCCTCAACCAGATCAAGTCTGTCCTCACCTACGTCCACCTCTTCACAGCCAAGGACATCAACTTCTCAAACAAGCCTTACTTCAAGGTAAAAGAAGGATTATGACAATGAGAAAGCCCTCTCTCTCATCCTTAACAACTTTGAAGACATGTGGACTTCAACTCCCAGAATCCCCGTCACCAGGGCTGATTCTAGCCCAGGGCTCTCCAAACCTGGCAACCTTAAGGCTTGTGGACTTCAACTTCTAGAATTCCTCAGCCAGCATGGCAGTTGGTCCACGTATCTTCAAGCTTGGGAAAGGTTGAGTAGATGTTGCCCTATAAAGCAGGGCTTTTCAACCTTTTCGCCCAATTGTACCACTTTCAGGATATGGCAACATCCGAGGACCACCCGTCGCCTAGCAAGGGGACAAAAACTTGATGACCAAAAAAAAAAAGGAAAAAAGTGATAAAGTACAGTTAGTCCTCGAATTACAACAGTTCACTTAGTGACTGTTCAAAGTTACAATGGCACTGAAAAAAATGCCCCCCAAGCCACAGCTGAGCAAGACACCTGCCTGCCCACCCGGCAGCGCTCTTCCTCCTGTCCGAGGTTTTCATTGTTGTGAGCATTTCTGTGGAGGATTGGCAGCTGGGGTGAAGTGGGGGGATGTTTGGTTTTTATTCCCCCCCCCCCCGTCTGCTGGGTGGTTGCAGCAGGTTTTGGTCACTTCACATGACCCTGGGACACTGTGACCGTCATAAATATGAATCAGTTGCCAAGCATCTGAATGTAAATCACAAGACCCTGGAGAGGCTGCAACATTCCAGCTGATTGGTCACATGTGAAGTGACCAAAACCTGCTGCAACCACCCAGCAGACGGGGGGGGGGGAATAAAAACCAAACACCCCCCCACCCCCACTTCCAATCCTCAACAGAAATGCTCACAACAATGAAAACCTCGGACAGGAGGAAGAGCGCCACCAGGCGGGCAGGCAGGTGTCTTGCTTGGCTGTGCCTTGGGGGGCACTTTTTTCAGTGCCATTGTAACTTCGAACAGTCACTAAGCGAACTGTTGTAAGTCGAGGACTACCTGCACTTTATCGCCTTTTTCCTTTTTGGGGGGTGGTCATCAAGTTTTTGACCCCTTGCTAGGCGACGGGTAGTATTCGGATGTTTATTTTATTTTATTTATTTATTTATTTATTTATTTATGAGACTTATATACCGCTTTAAGTGCGAGCACTCTCTAAGCGGTGTACACCAGTAAGCAATGTACATATATATATTTACATTGCCCCCAACAATCTGGGTCCTCATTTGACCTACCCTGGAAGGATGGAAGGCTGAGTCAACCTTGAGCCGGTGAGATTTGAACCGCTGACCTGCTGAACACAGTCAGCTAAAGTGGCCTGCAGTACTGCACTCTTAACTGCTGCGCCACCTCGGCTCATATGTTGCCATATCCTAAAAGCGGTACAATGGGTGAAAAGGTTGAAAAGCCCTGGACTAGCGTGTCCCTTTTATTTTTCTCTAGGGTGAATTCTGCAGCCAGGGTGTCCGGGAAGGCCTCGTGGTCAGCTTTATCAAGTCTCTTTGCCAGATCGCCCGGCAGTTCTGCGAGAGCCCGGGCGACAAAGGCGGGTCCAGCCCCCCGGCTCTTTTGCTGCTCCTCTCCCGACTCTGCTTGGATTACGAAACGGCCACCATCAGCTACATCCTCACCTTGACCGATGAGCAGTTCCTGGTGCAGGTAGGGCCGAAGGCTGGTGGGGGGGGGGGAGACCAAACTCAGAAATTAAAACCTGGCGGGCCTCGTTTTATTTATTTTATTTATTTATTTATGAGACTTATATACCGCTTTAAGTGCAAGCACTCTCTAAGCTGTGTACACCAGTAAGCAATGTATATATATATATTTACGTTGCCCCCAACAAGCTGGGTCCTCATTTTACCTACCCCGGAAGGATGGAAGGCTGAGTCAACCTTGAGCCGGTGAGATTTGAACCGCTGACCTGCTGAACACAGTCAGCTAAAGTGGCCTGCAGTACTGCACTCTAACTGCTGCGCCACCTCGGCTCTTTAAGAGGCGCATAGGGTTGGGTTCTTCCTTGAGTCCCTGCAAGCCTTATCCCCTGCCTTACGACGTCGTCCAAGAATTAGGAGTTTTTCTTATGGCTCACAGTCACTCTTAACTGAGGATGGAGATCCCGCTTTGCTTTCTCCAGAAACATCCTAATCGAGCTGCACCGAGGACGTCCTGGGAAGACTTCAGGATATCAGCAGCCCCTTCCCCGTTGACATGCAGACGGTGACGGGGCAGCTTGGTGTATCGTTTGGAAGAGAGTTCTAATTCATTTCAGCGCTAACATTACATGCTACAGCAAGTCCTCGACTTAGCACTGCAATCGGGACAGGAATTTGGGCCCTAAGTCGGGACAGCCGTAAGTCGAGGCATCCGTACGACCAGACCTGTTTTGACAGCAGTCATTAAGGGAATCACAGCGTCGTAAATCCGAATCCATTCTGCTTGAGTGCCAGAAACTGCAAAAAAAAAAAATCTCGACAGTCACAAAACTACAGGCAGACCTCGTCTTACGACCACAGTCGAGCCCAAAACTTTTGTTGCTAAGTGAAACATTTGTTAAGTGAGTTTTGCCCCATGTTACGATTTTCCGTGCCACGGTTATTAAGTGGATCGCTGCAGTTGTTAAGTTAGTCACACGGTTGTTAAACGAGCATCAGGGAAACTGTTCCAGATTTTCGGAATGAGGGCAGAGATGTCCAAATCTGCTCTCTGGTTGTACCCCATAACCCTGCTGACCAGGAAGACCTATGAGGAAATGAATCAAACATTTTATTACAATGCGCACCTTTTTGTGACCTGCAACTTTACAAAAAGTTTGCCTTTTAATAATATTGTTAGTCAGGAATGTTGCTACCACGATAGACTTAACGTGGCCCTCCTACAACATCTACATTTCTCAGCTTGGGGAACTTCCCACTGTGGACTCCAACTCCCAAAATTCTCAATAGTGCCTCTGCTGGCTGGGGAATTCTGGGAGTTGAGGTCCACCTCTCTTGAAGCATGCTGGCTGGGGGATTCTGGGAGTTGAAGTCCACCCCTCTTAAAACTGCCAAGGCTGAGAAACACTGATTAGACCAGGGGTCTTCAAACTTGACCCTTTTATAACTTGTTGAAGTCCACCCCTCTTGAAGCGTGCTGGCTGGGGAATTCTGGGAGTTGAGGTCCACCTCTCTTGAAGCATGCTGGCTGGGGGATTCTGGGAGTTGAAGTCCACCCCTCTTAAAACTGCCAAGGCTGAGAAACACTGATTAGACCAGGGGTCTTCAAGTTTGGCCCTTTTATGACTTGATTGAATCCACCCCTCTTGAAGCGTGCTGGCTGGGGAATTCTGGGAGTTGAGGTCCACCTCTCTTGAAGCATGCTGGCTGGGGGATTCTGGGAATTGAAGTCCACCCCTCTTAAAACTGCCAAGGCTGAGAAATACTGATTAGACCAGGGGTCTTCAAGTTTGGCCCTTTGATGACTTGTGGATTTCAACTCCCAGCGTGCCTGGCTGAGGAATTCTGGGAGTTGAAGTCCACAAGTCATCAAAGCGCCAAATTTGAAGACCCTTGGATTAGACTTTTCATACTTTAACATGACTGCAAAACTTCCAAACTATAAGGAAAATCCTGGGTTATGCTGGTCTATGACCATAGTAAAGATTTAGTTTGCTTTGACTAGGTTTGCCATAAAGCCAAAAATCCATTGAGAGAAGTGTAGAATAAAATAATTGTGCTCCCTGATCACTGCTGATCGGATGCACAAACATCTTCTAATTGAGGGGGGGGATTTCTAACTATTATGCAACCTCCCTTCAGTTTATTTATTTTTTTTAAATAAAGCCACAGCAAGCTGATGACAGGAGAAGGAATACATGTCGTACACAACGCCACTTTTGCACAATTTGTCCTAGGAGTTTCCTTGTTGCGATAACGCTGAATGTTGCTTGCGCCACTGCACGATTGCCTCCTGCAATAGCAAAAGATGCCACTTCCTCTTCTTTAGCCGTGGGGGGAATCCCAGGGAAAAGCCCAGAGTGGGTGCAGCTTCTGAGCAGAGCCCCTTCTGAGCACGCTCTCTTCAGAATCCAGATTGGGCAGACAAAAAAAGTAGAACACAGGCAGTCCTCGACTTACAACGATTTACTTAGTGACCGTTCAAGCTTACAAACGGCACTGGAAAAAAGCGACTTAGGACCGGTTTTCACACTTAACGATCTTTGCAGCATCCCTACGGTCACGTGATCAGAATTCAGACGCTTGGCAACTGACTCGTACTTATGACCGTTGCTGAGGACGTGATCCCCTTTTGCCATCTTCTGCAAGGCAAAGTCAATGGGGACGCCAGATTCACTTAACAACAGAAATTTGAGGCTGAATTGTCATAAGTTGAAGACCACCTGCAATTCAAGACATTAGCCGAAAGTCTTACATTAACGTAGGCATGGATGTCTGTCTCAGATTAAACATCCTAATTACAAAACTAGGCATGTAGCAGCATGAACGTCTCTAACCAGTGTTCCTCAACGTGGCAACTTTTAGACCTGTGGACTTCAGCATAGGCTGGCTGGGGAATTCTGGGACTTGAAGGCCACAGGCCTGAAAGTTGCCACGTTGAGGAACGCTGCCTTTTATGAACAGACTTGGATAAATCCTGAATGTTTAAGAAGAGTGTTTTAATTTCCCCCATCACAGTTGCCATTGCCCCCTCTTATGTAGAAATCTGACTTTTGGGCAAAAAAAAAAATCTCTATTACGGCTACAACTCTTCCTCCTGGATTGTATTACTTCAACAGATAACAATTCAGAGCGAAATAGAGCATCTGCTCCTCTGTCAAGGCCTCTCCAGAAAACACCAGCTTGGCACAGGAGCTGCGAACGGGAAGCCGTTCAAATCTTTCCTCCAGCGAAAATGGATTGCGCTCCTGGAAGCAACAGGAATAGGACCACCTTCCTTAAAATGGCAATAAGGATAGATAATAATAATAGTAAAGTTGGAAGGGACCTTGGAGGTCATCGAGTCCAACCCCCTGCTCAGGCAGGAAACCCTATACCATTTTGGACAAATGGCTGTCCAGTCTCTTAAAAATTTCCAGTGTTGGAGCGTTCACTGCTTCTGGAGGCAGGTAGTTCCACTGGTTAATTGTTCTAACTGTCAGGAAGTTTCTCCTTAGTTCTAGGTTGCTTTTCTCCTTGCTTAGTTTCCATCCGTTCCTTCTTCTCCTGCCTTCAGCTGCTTTGGAAAATAGCTTGACTCCCTCTTCTTTGGGGCAGCCCCTGAGATATTGGAACACGGCTATCATGTCCCCCCTCGTCCTTCTCTTCATTAAACTAGACATACCCAATTCCAGCAACTGTTCCTTATATGTTTTAGCCTCCAGTCCCCTAATCATCTTTGTTGCTCTTCTCTGTATTCTTTCTAGCGTCTCAACATCTTTTTTACATCGTGGTGACCAAAACTGGATGCAGTATTCCAACTGTGGCCTTACCAAGGCATTGTAGAGTGGTCTTAATACTTCACGTGATCTTGATTCTACCCCTCTGTTAATGCAGCCTTTTGTATTAATCTCTTGCTCTGTCAGTTTTGGTGAGGGTGTCCTTGATGTTTCCAGCTCTCTATTAACACTGAAGCAACTGCTGCCTTCCTGATGCGTTGGACTTCAGGCTCCATTCTCCCCTGCCAGGATGATGGGAGGAGAGGTCCAGAAGATCTCCAGGAAAGGGGATGCTGTTTAAAATTCCAGGGGTGAGCGAGGCTTCAGTTTGTCTTCCTACCTCCCGGGCTATCACTTCTCACTGGGTCTTGTCCCTCCCCCAGGACCACTCCCCCGTGACGCCGGTCACCGTGCTGTGTGCCGAGGCCAGGGAGGCTGCCCAGAAGCTGCTGAACCATTACGTGAAGGTTCAGGGGCTGATCATCTCTCAGATGCTGCGCAAGAGCGTGGAGACGCGCGACTGGATCTCCACCATCGAACCGCGCAACGTCCGTGCCGTCATGAAGAGGGTGGTGGAAGACGCCACCTCGATTGACGTGCAGGTGAGTGCAAGGAAGGCCCAGCCAAGCCCCGGATTTTCCTGGGAAGAAGTTGAAGAAACTGCTTCGGGCAGAGAGTTGTCTATAACTGTTTGTTGCTCTAGGGAAGCGTGTTGTAAGGGCCCAACCCACTTTGCATCTTAAGAAGACAGAAGTCTTGGAATATCTCTTCCAACAGGCATCTTTATTAAGAGAAGATGGTTGCAGGCATTCTAGACAGGACTTGGGGGCCAACCCCTCCCATTCAAGGTTTTAAGTGTTCCCAAGCAGCCCCCCCCCCACCGTCCTTCCAGCGACAATCCCAAACGTTACATTTCCACCCCCTTTTTCCTCACGGCCGGCGGAAGGGAGACTTCAGAGAGGAGTAGATGAAAGGCGATGGCCATATTGTTACGGTCAGTCCTCTTGGTGAGATCCACATTCAGTCCCTTTGAAGTTTTAATGAAGGAAGTGAGGGCCATAAAGCCCCTTTGCTCACCCCCCTTCCCCTTCGTAGTATGACAGAATCCAGAGAGGGCAGAAATGGGGTTTTTCCATAGTCGATAACTAGAAATGAAATATAATTGGATTCTGACACATGTCTTGGAAAAATCTCAGGCCGGGAATCTTCTTTGGCTAGCTGACTAAGCGGGATGGATGAGACAGAAGCTGAAGATGGCAGATATGACAGCTTGGGGCAGCCTCCAGTCAGGAGTGGGCTACCCCGGCCCGGCCTTACTAGCAACTCGCATTTCCCTATCGTGGTCTCTTCTCGCAGGTGGGCCTGCTCTACGAGGAAGGGGTGCGGAAAGCTCAGAGCAGCGATTCCAGCAAACGAACCTTTTCCATATCCAGACAGCAGAGCCGCTACGCACCCAGCTACACTCCCAGGTGAGCCAAAGGGAGAGGCCGCCTAGCAAGTGGGGTGCAGAAGTTACGTCCTCGGTGTAAAACACCTGCAGACGCTCTCGCAAGGAGAGTGACTTTGACCACCACGGAGGCTAAGGGGAGAAGAGCAGAATGCAGGTAGTCCTCAACCTGGGACCAAAAGTTCTGTTGTTAAGTGAGACATTTGTTTAGGGAATTTTGCCCCATTTTACGACCTTTCTTGCCTAAGTTATTACGTGTCCTGAGGTCACGTTGATCTCCTTTTGCGAGCTTCTGACAAGCAGAGTCAGTGGGGGAAGCCAGATTCACTTCACACCGACTTACTAATCAACTTCAGTGATTCGCTTAACAAACGTGGCAAGAAAAGTTGTGAAATGGGGCAAAACGCACTTAACGTATTCGCACATAATGTCTGGGCTCAGTTGTGGCAGTACATCAAGTATTCCCAAGGGCCTTCTTGGTTCCAGTATAGGCAATTATTAGAAAGATGGAGTATAGATCAAAAAGTGGGTTTTGTTATGGAAGATGTGAATTTGATGAAACAAATTAAAGGTCAAAGTAGAACTCATATAAAAAGAGTTTATAATGCTTTAGTGGAATTGGATTCAGAAACAGAATTAGTTAAAGGTTGTATGGTTAAGTGGGCTCAGAATTTTGAAGAGCCGATTTTATTAGATACATGGGAGATAATTTGGGTGAGGAATGTTAAATTTACTCAAGCTCAAAATGTACGAGAAAATTTTTACAAAATGTTTTATAGGTGGCACCTTGATCCACAAAAGTTGTCTCGTATGTATCCGAATGTACAGCCCAAATGTTGGAGATGTGGTTGTCTGGACGCAACGTCTTATCATATTTGGTGGTCATGTAGAAACGTAAAGGCTTTTTGGATCAAGATTTGGTGGAACATTCAGAAGATTTTTAATAGAAGGATAAAATTTACACCACAATTATTTTTGTTAGGTATTATTGTAGACTGTGATGGTAAAGAGATTACCTTAATGTTAAATTTTATTACGGCGGCAAGGTTGCTGATTGGGCAATATTGGAAGAAGGATTCCTTGCCTACTATAGAAAAATGGTTTCTTAAAGTTTCTTATTTATCAGAAATGGCAAAAAATTCAGCTTATCTGAAAGACCATTCACAAGAGAGATATATCTCGGTGTGGAAAAGATGGGTAAATTTTGTACAGAATAAATATGGGATTAGGAAGTATTATTTAGCTTCTGAATAATCTATAGTTTAAAATGGGTATGGTTGGATTTGTAGTTTCTATGTATCGGAGTTAAAGTACTTTAAATTTTTTGGATGTATGTATAGTGGATTGATGTTCATTTAAATTGTATGGGTTTTTTTTTTTGTTTCTTTAACCCTGTATTCAGCTCTGGGAAGGAGGGGGGAGGGTTATGGGGTGGGAGGGGGGGTATTTTATTGTAAAAAGTTTATAAAAATTTTCAATAAAAAAAAAAGTATTCCCAAGGGCCTGAAAAAAGCATGGCTTTTAAAAGAACTCTTTAGGGCAGTGGTTCTCAACCTTTTTAATACCGTGAGCCCCCAACCGGTCGTAAGTCGAGGTCTACTCAACTGGTGCAGCACCGTTGGCAGAATGGGACTTTTGGCGGGCTCAGCAGGGCAGAGACAGCCTGGACAATTCCTATTGGCTTTTGAAAGCCAATAGAATTAGACTCTATTCAAGAGAGACTATTCTATTGGCTTTCAAAAGCCAATAGAATAAAAGGGAGTAGCACAGCTAAGGAAAGGGGGGGAAAAATGGCGGACTGCGTTGTTTGGCGACCCCCGTGAAATGGTCGTTCGACCCCAAATGGGGTCCCGACCCACAGGTTGAGAACCCCTGCTTTTGGGAGTCACCGGAAAAAGATCCTTAGTTACATAGAGAAACAAGTGCATAGACTGAGGTCCTTGCAGACATTTCATGACCCAGCTAGGGAACATCATCAGTGCTAGAAGGGAGCTTGTGGAATGGAGGAGGAGAAGGGGAAGACAGCGGGGTCCTTGGTGCTCTCCGAACTGGGTTGTTTCCTTGCTGCCAATTCATGACCCGACTAGGTAACATCATCAGTGAAGATGGGGGTAGGTCAAATGATTTAAAGTAATCGATTATGTCTTTTCTCCAATTGCGGCCAGTGCCCCCATGGATACCAATTTGCTGAGCAACATCCAGAAGCTTTTCTCGGAGCGGATCGATATCTTCAGCCCTGTGGAGTTTAACAAGGTGAGGGCAATTTGTCTCTTTTCGTCTCTTCACCCAGCAATCAGCCAGAATAGAGCTGGAAGGGACCTGGGAGGTCTTCTAGTCCAGCCCCTTCAGAAGCAGAAACAGTGGGTTGGTTTGAGCACTGGCTTGGATAGCTTTTTGCAGGAAGGAAGTGACAGGCCTCCAAGATATTAAGGTACTTAGAATCGTAGTGTCAGACCTGCCCCAGTCTGATCCCTTAGGAAAGAGAAACCCTCGACTCCCATTTGGTGGACATGAAAGCTGTTGTGGTTCCGGCTAATGAAACACTTCAAAGAACTTCCAGGCACAACGGAGGGATGCTAAGATCTAAATTCTCTTCCTCTGAGCAGCTAAATTATCAGCATGTTCCCTCCCTAAATTAGCCGTCATGCATCACGTTATCCAATTAGTGTGAAGGTCAAAGGTTTCCTTCCTCTTTCTTTCCCGGGCTTTACCCCCACCCCCCTTCTGCTCTGTATTAACCCCATAAATACCAGACAGTTCTGCATATTGTCAAAAGCAAGAATATACAATATTTGCAGCGTTGACAAAAGCTACTAAGAGATGCTGGTTGCAGTAAAGTCGGGCAGAATCTGAAGTTTCCCGCTCATCAGTAGAAAACTATTTCCTTCTGTCCCGTCCCTCCTCCGTGTGAAATACCGCTGGGATGTTTTGGGGAACGCTGAGGGATTTCCACTAGTAACTTCCCACACTCAGAGCAAGACGCCTTGGCACGAACTGATCCCAGGGTGATCTGCTTTTCTTCAGCTGTCATCCCGTTCCTAATTCCCACACAAAAATGCACACAGATTTCTTGCCCATTTGTCGTCCCATCATGCCTCCTCTCCCAATCCTTTGATGTCAGGATGCCAGCATGGCCCCAAGCCGAAGATGGTTTTAGAATAGAATAGAGCTGGAAGGGACCTTGGAGGTCTTCTAGTCCAACCCGGTCCCCAAGGCAGGAGACATAAGGAGTCGTTAAGGCAAGGACTACCTCCAATTAGAAGGATCCCTTCGGAGTTTGCACATGGTGGCTGCCCAGTCCCGGTCTTTTTTTTTTAATCCCGCCTCTTTTAAATCTTCCGCCCTCTTCTTCCGCCCAGGTCTCCGTGCTGACGGGCATCATCAAGATCAGCCTGAAGACCTTCCTGGAGTGCGTCCGCCTGCGCACCTTCGGCCGCTTCGGCCTGCAGCAGATCCAGGTAGACTGCTACTACTTGCAGCTCTACCTGTGGCGCTTCGTTTCGGACGAGAACCTGGTGCACTTTTTGCTGGACGAAATCGTGGGCAGCACGGCTCACCGGTGCCTCGACCCCGTGCCCATGGAGCAGAGCGTGATCGAGGTCATTTGCGAGCGCGGATAGAACGGAGAGAGGAATAACAGTGAGAAAAATCTTAACCGGGATCCTCCGGAACGAGGTTTCTCCAGCTGGGGAACTTTTAAGTGGGAGTTGAAGTCCAGACCACTTAAAGTTCCCAAGCTCTCTATCTTAAAGTTCCCAAATCTATTCAGCAAAGGAGCTTCTGAAAACCTCAAGAGACGACATTTCTCTTTCTACTGTACGTGAAGCGATGTAAGGAAAACCTCAACGATGGGAAAATTCTGATAAATAAAGAGTGATTTAATTCTCGGCTGCCTTCAGAAGACTGGATTGATTATTGCAAGCCAGCTGCTCCCCACGCCATTCATAAAACTGCGATTTGGAATACGGTATATGCCGGCGTATAAGACGACTTCCGGAAGTGCTAAACTCGGCACAAAGACGGGGGTCGTCTTATACGCCGAGTCATCTTATACACCGGAAATACTGGTAGTTTCCGGCGTATAAGACGACGTTCTAGGAATGCGGCTCGGCGATAAAGACGGGGGTCGTCTTATACGCCGGGTCGCCTAATACGCCGGCATATGCGGTAAATAAAGCCCTTGCCCCCTCTCTGATTTTTACAAGGTATCCTCGCCTGCGGTAGCCCATTTCAGCGGGTGCGTAGGTAAAAGATTTGCAAGGTCAATTATTCGGAGGAAGCCCCATCAGTGAACCCCCCCACGATCAATTACAGATAGTCCTCGACTTGCAACAGTTCATTTACAACGTTGCTGAAAAAAGATGACTGACCCAAGCGTGGCGGCATCCTCGCCCACGGTCACGTGGTCAAAATCCAGACACGTATTTGCAATGCCAAGAGAGTCCAAGGGTCGCCTGCTCACCATATGTGATCTCCCCAGCCAGTTTCTGAGAGTCAAAGTCAATGGGGGAAGCTTGATTTCCTTAAACAACCATGTGATTCACTTAAACAGTGGCAAAAAAAAAAATCATAAACTTGTGTGTGGCTCACTTAACAACTGCCTTGCTTAGCAATGGAAGTACCGGCCCCAATTATCATAAGTTGAAGAGTAATTTATGCACATAGCCACAGTTTGAGGGGCTTTTTATGCACCATCAACCTCATTAAGCTCCTTCCTTCCAATGTGGGTTTGCTTTACCAGTCTTATCCGTAAGGTAGTCCTCGAATTCCAACAGTTCATTTAGTGACCGTTCAAAGTTACAACAGCACTGAAAAAAGGGACTTAGGACCATTTTTCACATGACCGTTGCAGCATCCCCAGGATCACGCGATCACAATTCAAAGAGGCTTGGCTACTGACTCACATTTATGACCATTGCAGTGCCCCGAGTTCACGTAGTCCTCTTTTGTGACCTGACAAAAGTCAATGCGGAAATCCGATTCACTTGACAACCCTGTGACTGATTTAACAACTGCAGTGATTCGCTTAACAACTATGGCAAGAAAGTACGTAAAGTGGGGTTCACTTAACCAATGTTTCACTTAGCAACAAAAAAGTTGGTGGTTATAATTCGAGGTATAGGTTCCCCTGCTTGACTAGAAGACCTCCAAGGTCCCTTCCAGCTCTATTCTATTTGACTATCTGTCCTCACCCTATTCCACAAGCTGTGGCCCTCCCAAATGTGCCTCTGGCAACAGCTGGAGGGATGTTGCGGCTGGGCAACACTCTTTGAAAACATCCTGCGGGATCAAAAAGTGTGGTGGAGACCGTCTGTCTCTTTGGAGGCTTCTAACCTGCACATCCATCCTTCATTGTGACACAACCATGATTTACTTAACCACTGTAGTGATTTGCTCAACAACCGCGGCTGACCATAACTGACCAGAGAGTTTGCTTTGTAGGGACACCCGTGTATTTAATGGTCAATCTCACGTGAAGCATGCAATCTTAAGAGGAAACGATAATATCTTGAATAAACGTTGCAGAAACCAACTTCCTCCAGACTGAAGGGTGCATCTCTCTGAAACAAGGGCCTTGTTGCTTAAAATGTCCCGCTTTACCCAATAATGGAAAGTCAACCGGCCTCTGTTTGCCCCTCAACGTGACTCATGGTTTTATTTGAGCTTTTTCTAAAGGTCGGTTGACCTAGGGAGACCTGCCAGAGGAGTACACAGTGTCTGTATGGAGAAACAATCACGAAACGCTGTGTGTGTGTGTGTGTGATGGTGCAGAATTTCTCTGCCACTTCCCTGTTGTGCAACTCTTCACGTTTTGTCCACAGTCACCTCTGACGTGGGGCTGGGAAGGATGGGTGGTTCCAGGGGCATTTATATGGGACAGTGCCAATGCCAACCGCACACGCACCAAAGAGAGACCTACAATTGCCACCCAAAGCAGGAGGATTTGTTTCGTTCCATACGACAGTATGGCTCTGTTCGTCCAGTGGTGGCCCCGGTGGAGGATTCAGAAAGGTGAGTCCCAGAACAGTATGTGTGTGTGTGTGTGTGTGTGTAAAAGTTGAAATTCAGCGTTGCTTTTAAAGTTGGGAGACGCTACATATTATACTAAAATTTGGCTGACCGCTTTGTGGTTGAATAGTGTCAACAATGTACACAATGGCTTATCTGGTAGGACCCCAACCAACTGTATTGGATTCAAGACATTGTGGATGAACAAACTATCAATGAAGGAGAATCTTCGTAGCTCAGGGTTGAAATGAGGGGTCCTTGGTGCTCCCTGAACTGGCTTGTCGTCTTGCAGACGTTTCATGACCCAACCAGTAACATCCTCAGTGCTAAAAGGAGAATTGTGGGGTCCTCGTTGCTCTGTTTCCTTGCAGACATTTCATGACCCAACTAACTAGCGTCATCAGTGCAAGTGTGGAGTGCTGTTTGCTGTCAGTTTATATTCTGGTGTCTTGCCTGTCTGGGGGGGGGGTCTTAGCGATTCTTTGGTTGGGCTGTTTACTAATGTCTCTGTGGCAGTTTCTTGATTGGAGTACTGCTTACTTGATTGTTGGTCTGAAGGTGACCTTGGAGTTAAACAGTGCTGATCTAGGTGTGGATTTCTGGTGAAGTGGCGCTGGAGTGCTGAACAAACTATGACTTAATGTAATGTGTAATGCCAGAGGTCTGTAGATTTTACATGGATTAGAAGAGTGGAAAATTACTAAAAATGTTTTAAGTTGGAGAGAACATGTAGCTCATTGCCTACATGTACACAGTACATTTTACTTGATTACTGTGCCAATTTATACTGCACTGGTGAGACCACACTTGGAATTCAGCATCCAGTTTGGTTCTTCGTGGTATAAAAATGATGTTGGGACTCTTAGAAAGAATGCAGAGAAGAGCAACAAAGAGGATTGGGGAACTGGAGGCTAAAACATATGAAGAACGGTTGCAAAAATTGGGTTTGTCTATAGTGAAAAAAAGGACCAGGAGAGACAGGATAGCAGTGTTCCAATATCTCAGGGGTGCCCCAAAAGAAGAGGGAGTCAAGCTATTCTCCAAAGCACCTGAAGGCAGGACAAGAAGCAACGGATGGAAACTAATCAAGGAGAGAAGCAACCTGGAACTAAGGAGAAACTTCCTGACAGAGCAATTAACCAGTGGGACAGCTTCCCTCCAGAAGTTGTGGGTGTTCCAACACCAGTTTTTTTTTTTTTAAAAAAAGATTCAGCATCCATTTGTCTGAAATAGTATAGAGCAGTGGTTCTCAACCTGTGGGTCGGGACCCCATTTGGGGTCGAATGACCATTTCACGGGGGTCACCAAACAAGGCTGTCCGCCATTTTTTCCCCCTTTTCTTTGGCCACGCCCCTGGCACCCAGTGATGTATAAGTCGTTGGGGGGTCACCACAACATGGGGAACTGTATTACGGGGTCGCGGCATTAGAAAGGTTGAGAACCACTGGTATAGAGTCTCCTTCTAGAGCAGAGAGTTAGATTACAAAACCTCCAGGATCTCTTCCAACATTATTATTCTGTATGTGCACAATAACATTGAACCACAAAGGAACCAAATGGTTTATAAAATAGCAATTTTTACAGCCCTCTCTAAGCGGTTTACAGAGTCAGCATTTTGCCCCCAACAATCTGGTTCCTCCTTTTACCGACCTCAGGAGGATGGAAGGCAGAGTCAACCTGGAGCCGGTCAGGATCGAACTGCCGATAGTCGGCAGTCAGCAGAAATAGCCTGCAGTACTGCATTCTAACCACTGCACCACCACGGCTGAAAACACATTGAATTTAAAAAAAAGAAGCCAGTTTAATGCTAATCAAGTTTAACATTCTATGTGAATGCTAAGTTTTAGCTGACTTGGTTTGTGAAGATAAACTCTCACCAAAAAGGGAGCCAATCTATTTGTCCCAGATCTAAACCTGTGTGCTATTATTAGCATGTTCCACAGGCCATATTTGGTGAAATTAGAAACACGCAGAGGGCGTTCCTTTAATGATGGGAGTTTAAATGTTCACCCCCCTTCAGATTCTAGCATATCCAATTCACAATTCTGCCAAAGTGGCTAAGAAAGGCTGGCTAGCTGATATAGAACATGGCTTTATCCCAAACGATAACTTGTTTAACCATCATTTTGTGAAGTGGCCACCAAAGTCTGGATTTGCACATTACACTATGCTAAACCCAAATCAGCTTGTTTTTCTAAAGCCCTAAGCCAAAATGAAAGAAACTAAACCATCACTTTCCCTTTGCACTGACAAATGTATGATGAGTTTATTCATGTTTATTAATATGCACCACTACGAGCTAGCTCAGGGGTCTTCAAACTTGGCACTTTTAAGACTTGTGGACTTCAACTCCCAGAATTCCTCAGCCCTCATGGCTGATTGAGGAATTCTGGGAGTTGAAGTCCAGAGGTCTCAAAGTTTCTAAGTTTGCAGACTCCTGAGCTAGCTGGTTGGCCCTTCTTCCTCTCTCCCAGTGTAGTAAGAATGCACCCCTCCAATCACTTCCCTGTACCCTTAAAGACACAGGAATCAAGTGCAAAGCAAGAAAATAAACACCAACTCTGTTTTTTCTCTCTCTTTAAGTTGCCTCAGACGTGTCACGTGTCACAATGTTACAATCGGAGACTGAAAGGCTCCGGCAATTGCAAAAAGCTTTAGCATTAAATTAAGCCAGTTTACCTTCAAAGAAAACTTTCTAAAAGCCAGACAGACTCAATTAAAGGGGGTAAAACTAATTACATTTCTTTAAAGGGATTAAACTAGGGGTAGGCAACCTTGGCTCTTTTGTGACTCGTGGACTTCAACTCCCAGAATTCCTGAGCCAGCCATGCTGGCTCAGGAATTCTGGGAGTTGGTCCACGAGTCATAAAAGAGCCAAGGTTGCCTAACCCTGGATTAAACCTTTCCTGTTATCTTTTTTTCCCCTTCCCCACCCAAACCACGTTATTTTATAGCTTCTACTCTCTTCCCCCCTTTTTCTTCAGTTCCCCTCCAGCTCCCAGCTGCTTCTGGAAGCGCCAATTAGCTGGAGCCAAGAAGCTGGAGCCCTGCCAGCTCCTGGGGCTTCTGCAGAGCCCAGACAGTCCTGCAGCTGCAGCTACCTCTCCCCAGGCTTGGCTTGCTTGGGCTCATTCCCTTCCGTGCTACACTTGGCTAGCAGTCACGTGGCAAAGTATCATAAGTGGTACGCATACCAGAGTACCATAAGTGGAACGCATACCAGAGTACCATAAGTGGTACGCATACCACCGGTTGAAAATCCCTGATTTAGATACCCATCTAAACCAAGTTATTTATTTATTGTTAAGTTGAATAAGGTGTCCTGCTTTGGGCAGGGGGTTGGGCTAGATTTATGAGGTCCCTTCCATCCCTAAGAGTCTATGATTCCAACACATAAGACTGGTGTTTCTCAACCGTGGCCACTTTAAAACATGTGGACTTCAACTCCCAGAACTGAAGTCTTAAAACGGCCAAGGTTGAGAAACACTGTATTGGACACTAATCCCATGTTGTTGAGTTGCATGGTCTGCCCACAAGCCTGTGATCAATTGTTAAGGCTCCACCTGACCAGTTGATTCCTAGAAAGAGCAAGTTTATCAGTGGCAATAAGGCTAGGAAGCTAATCAACCTCTTTCCTTTTTTTCTTCATTGCAGTCTCCCTCAGCACAATCCTGATCGTCTCGTTAGCCTTGAGTTCTGCCACCGAGGCGTTTTTCCGATGCTCCACTAGCAAAATCAAGAACCGGATGGTGGCCAACTGCCAAGCCCAAGGCCACAAGGTCATCCCCAACGTGAACGTGTCCACTCAAGTCCTCTTGTTGAATTTTAACCTCCTCTCCACCATCCAGATGTCTTCCTTCCCACGGATGAGTGCCCTGAAGATGCTGTCGTTGGGGAAACAATCGGGAGGCCCTCTCTATGTTGGAGAGAGGGCCTTTGCAAATGTGTCCAACATCACTTCCCTAGATTTGGGGGGCAACGGGAACTTGTCACTGCACCCCAACGCATTCCAGGGTTTGACCCAACTCAAGATATTACTCTTGGATGCTAATGGTTTTGACCACAGAATCCTGGAGAAGGGCTATTTCCAAGAGCTTTTATCGCTGGAAGTTTTGGACCTTACAGGAAACCACCTTGATCGGCTGAGACCAGATCCAACCTTCCAAGGACTGAAAAAATTAAAGGTCCTTCAGCTGAAACTCAACAAAATTGGGGCAATTTGTGGGGATGACCTCCAGTATCTCAGTGGGCGCCATCTGACCTTCCTTGACCTGTCCTCCAATCGATTGTCCAGCGATCCTTCTTGCAGCAACAACCCGTTTCGCAACATCACCCTGGGCACCTTGGACATCTCGTCCAACCCATGGGACGTGGTGCGAGTTGAACAGTTCCTCAAAAGCCTGAATGGCACACCGATCCAGAACCTCAAGGTGCAACATTCAGGAGCAATTGGGAGCGGGTTCGGGTTCAAGAACTTGAAGGACATTTCAGCTACCACATTCTCTGGGCTGCGTCACAGCCGAATCCGGACTTTTGACATGTCTCGTGGGTTTCTCAATGCCCTGAACGCCTCTGTCTTCTCAAGCTTACCAGATCTCAACACCTTGCTCTTGACATCCAATCAGATTAATAAGATTCAAAATGGGGCATTTTTAGGGTTAAATAAGCTCCAGGTCCTTGATTTGTCCGACAATCTTCTCGGAGAGCTATACACAAAAGGACTGGAGGATTTAAAATCTTCTCCCCTGCAGCGTCTCATTCTGAAGTCCAACCACATTGGAATTGTTCAGCATGATGCCCTGATGGGTCTAAAGTCTTTGCAATTTCTTGACCTGCAAGACAATGCTCTTGACCGAGTTCCCAGTGGGAATCTCCCTTCCTTGCTGCGGCTTAATTTGGGGCAAAACAGGATCCAGAACACCTGGGGCATAGAAAAACTTGGTCCAAATCTGGCCCATCTTGATCTCTCTTCCAACCGTCTAACGGACCTGGCAAACGTCTGGAATCATCTCGCCGAGATTCCCTACTTAAAGTTCCTGAATCTCTCCAGCAACCACCTGGCGAGGTGTTCGCGAGTTGAGAAGTCTCCGAGGCCACTAGCACAACTGGACCTTTCGCACAACAATCTGGGAAACATTTGGGCCACTCAGAAATGCACGGACCTCTTCCAGCATTTGGAGAAACTGCTGGTGCTGAATCTCAGCTCCAATCACCTGCGTGACTTGCCTGCAAATCTTTTCCACGGTTTGGCATCTTTAGAAATCCTGGATCTCGGGGCCAACATGTTGCACAAACTTCCAGATCAGATTTTCCCTAGTTTGAAATCCCTGCGTGCTCTCAGCGTCCGTGGAAACCCGTTGATGACGCTCTCGCCTTCCTCGTTTCAACCAGTGAGGCAGTTGCGATTCCTGGATTTGAGGGAATCGTCTCTGGTTTGCCGTTGTGACCTCAAAGGTTTCCAGAACTGGCTACAGAACCAAAACGTGACGGTCAGGGCATCTGAGCTTCTTCTGACTTGCGTTCAGACCAGCTCTGATTTCCAGAGGCAGCCCCTGCCTCAGTTCCTACGCAACAACTGTGTTTCTTAGCCAATGGACATATTTTCCCTGTGTGCACCAGGTTTTGGAGGAAAGGAAGCTTGAACAAAATGTCTACGATGCCCCTGCTTCCTGGGATTACAACTCACAGAATTACCGGCCAGCAAAAAATTAGGGGGCTGGCAGGACTTTTTCCCTTTCCTGGAAATCTAACGGTGACAACAATTTGGCTGGAAAAGAGGAATTGTAATCGCAATAAAAGTAGTCCTCAACTTATGACTTTTGAGCCCCAAATTTTGCTAAGCAAGTCGGTTAAGTGAGTTTTGCCCCATTTTACAACTTTTCTTGCCAGTTAAGTGAATCATAGCAGTTGTTCAGTTAGTAACACGGTTAAGTGAAATCTGGCTCCCCTATTGACTTTTGCTCATCAGAATGTTGCAAAAGGGGATCACATGACACAGGGATACTGAAGCCGTCATAAATACGAGCCAGTTGCCAAGTGTCTGAAGTTTGATCATGTGACCATTGGGATACACCAATAGTCTTGTGAAAGACAGTCGTAAGTCACTTTTTCAATGCCATTGTAACTTTGAACAGTCACTAAATGAACTATTGTTAAGTCAAGAACTACTGTACAGGATATGTATAAACCATCATGCTGGGAAAGTTTATTGTAATGTTAGTAAATGTGAAAAAAATAGAGGTGGATTCATAATTTGTCTACACTGCAACTGTCTGAGCGGAGCTTGTATATTTGCAAATAAACTAACACTGTAGAAAATAAAATTCTGTCTAATAACTTATTTCAAAGGAAATAAAACCGGGTTTGACTGCCAATCTTGGAAATTTTAAATAGGCATGGAATGAAGGGGAGAAGAATTCTTAAAAGTGACCTATGGTGCTACCTGCTATTAGCTGTATTCACACAAGGACGAACTTGCTGAGACAGGCTTTATCATTCGACTCTGGGAACGCTGACGCTGGCCTTGTACGACCATGTGGGGAATCAAAAAAATGGCAGCCCTGGATCAGCGGTTCTCAAACTTTCTCACATGATGGTGCCCTTAGCGTCGCTGAAGTATGACACTGCAAACAGATCTGCGAGAAAATTTAGACTATCCTGCAATGCCGGTCAGTTTGTTGTGCTCCTCTAGGTTAGTCCGCGTTCCTCCAGGTTAGTTAGGCTGAGCCGTCTTGTAAGGTCAATGAAGTAATTGATCTTTGTGATTTGTCTCTTTTTCTTATTTTTAAAAATAAACATAAATAAACCCTCTCCAAATTCACGCTGTGATCCACCCGTTCAATGACTTCATGGCAGGACAATTTTAACAGTTTGTCTTTGAAGTCCACTTGTTAAGTGACTGCGTTTAAATTGCAAACATTCATTCAGTTTTGCAGTGAAATTGAGAAGCAAGAAAACGTCTTAAGGTAGGAATAGAAATCTCCAATTGAGCCAGGTCAGCTGAAGAGTACAAAAAGAACTCCCAAATGTACTGTGCATATTTTATTTTATGCAAAGTTTTGACACGAGTATCCAACGGATTTACCCCTAAGGCCAATCCCACGGGTTTAACTCAGCTCACTAAGTAGGTATGTATATTCCGGCGTATAAGACAACTTTCTAAGGCGTAGCAATCGGCGCCGAAGTTGGGGGTCGTCTTATACACCAGAAATAATGGTAGTTTCCCGCGTATAAGACGACTTTCTAGGCATGCAACTCAGCGCTGAAGTCAGGGGTCGTCTTATAAGCCAGAAAATACGGTACATATTGCAAGTGTCCTCCTATTCAGGTCAAAGTTGAGCATTTGTTAATTGGAACAACCCTGAACTACATTTAATTCAGACAAGAAATATACTGAAGTTATCAATTTGCTAAGTGAAATGTGCAGCACAGTTTACTCATTCCTAGAGGGTTCCTTGTGTTATTCCAAGACATCGTTACCAATTCTTCTGTTTCCTCATGTGCTTTCTTTTGAATGGTTAGCAAGGAAGAACGATTTTCCTTCTGAAATATATTCAACGACATTCCTGTGGGGGGGAGGGAAGCATAATACAGAAATTTAGATATATAATTCAAGCTATGAAAAACAAATAATAATGTACAGAGCAGTATCGATGCCCAGATGCTGATTTCAGCTCACAAGTTTGCATTCTACGTATTTCACGAGAACAGCCAGGATCTTCAAACACTGAACAGTCACATTTCTTGCTCTTTAGAATGTGTGACCCCGCAAAATTCAATCGTGCCACAGATGGCCAACCCACCTAAAGACACTCTTGAGTGAAGAAAGGCCACGTTAGTATCTGATGACATAAAATCCCACTGTTTGAAGCTTGCAGCAGTGAGAGGAACAGTCATCAAGCATTTATAAAACCTTTGGACTGCTCAAACGATGAAAACGCGGACACCCATCACGCCCGTCTCTTCTTCTCCTCTCCTGCACATTGTGCCTTCTTAGATTGTGAGCATGAATATAAATGACCTTATGGTGATCCACTTCTGTAACTATTTTGAATTCATTCTAGGACATCAACAGCCTTTTCTTGAGATATAAATTGTTTGTCTCCAATATATTAACCAGGAAAAAAGCATCAACACTTACATTATGAAAGTGGAGGGGGGAATGATGGTTTTCACCCAATTCTTGTCGGAATCTTCAATCCTGTAAAAAACAAAAAACAAAACAGCAATTCTTGAGTTAGCAACCAAATACTTTGACGTATTGGCAGTAAAAAGTCTGTAATACAGAAACCGTTCTTGTCTTCTCTCTTTTATTGTCAACGGTAGTTCAGAATGAGAAACTTTCAATTTGAAAGAATACTTGTAGCACAGGGTTGAGCTGAGGGCTTTTCTTGGTGGTCTCAAGACAGCTCCAAGGACCCTTCATTTTCAATTTTGTTTCTATACTGCAAAACCAAAGTTGGGTCAAGGATACAGAATCAGTCCTCGGTGTTATGGTTCCGGCTAATGAAACATTTCAAAGAACTTCCAGGCATTGATTTCCCTAAAAATCATTGATTGGTACAAAATGTCGGCACAGGCATAACAAAGACTTATGCTAAGATCTAAGTTCTCTTCCTCTGAGCAGTTAAATTATCAGCATGTTCCCTCCCTAAATTAGCTGTCATATATCACATTATCCAATTAGTGTGAAGGTCAAAGGTTTGATTCCTCTCTCTTATGCTCTGCATTAACTCTAAAAATACCAGATAGTTCTGCATATTGTCAAAGCAAGAATATACAGTATTTGCAGCGTTGACATTCAGTTTACAACCATAACTGAGCCCAAAGTTTTTGTCACTAAAGGCAATTGATGAGTTTTGCCCCGTTTTATGACCTTTTTGCCACAGTGGTTAAGTGAATCATGCACTCCTTAAGCAAATCTGGCTTCCCGCATTGACTTTGCTTGTTGGAAACCAGCTGGGAAAGTTGCAAAAGGTGATGGTGTGACAACGGGACAACCCTCATAAATACAGGCCCAGTTGTCAAGCACCCGGCCGTGAGGGATGCTGCAAAGGTTGTTAAGTGTGAAAATTGGCTGTAACTCACCTTTTTGAGTGCTGATGTAACTGAGAATGGTCACTAAACAAATGGTTGTTCAGTTGAAGATTACCTGTTCAGAAACAATCCATGATCTTGTACATAGGAATAATACAGAATACAGAGTAACAAGAGTTGGAAGGGACCTTGGAGATCATCTAGTCCAACCCCCTGCTCAGGCAGGGAACCCTATACCATTTCAGACCAATGGCTGTCCGGTCTCTTCTTTAAAACTTCAGTGTTGGAGCATTCACTGCTTCTGGAGGCAGGTTGTTCCACTGGCTAATTGTTCTAACTGTCAGGAAGTTTCTCCTTAGTTCTAGGTTGTTTCTCTCCTGGATCAGTTTCTATCCATTGTTCCTTGTCAAGCCTTTGGGTGCTTTGGAAAATAGGTTGACCCCCCTCCTCTCTGTAGCAGCCCCTCAAATATTGGAATACTAACAGGTCACTCCTGATCCTTCTCTTCACTAGACTAGCCATGGCCAGTTCTTGCAACTGTTCATCATGGTTTAGCCTCCAGTCCCCTAATCATTCTTCGTTGCTTTTTTTTCTGCACTCAATACTCCAGGTTGGCCTTACTAAAGCTTTATAGAGCGGTACTAATATCTCACGTGATCTTGATTCTATCTTGATAATGCAATTTAGGATTGCACTGATCACCATACAGCAAGGACGGGACTCTATTGATTTAATCTCCTTGCAGGAAAAAGGGAAAGGCAGCCCACCTCCCAAGGACAGGTAAATCCAGTTCCAGTGGCCAGGAAACACCCCCCCCCCAAAGTCAAATGGCCCCATTATGGATGCTTGGCAACTGGCTCCCATTTATTACCATTTGCCATGTCCCACGGTCACCTGACCACAATTTACATGTTTGCCGTACTAGTGTTTACTTCTGTTTTTTGACAAAAATGCCACACAGCAAACATGGGTTCACTTAACAAGCAGCACCAACACACACACAGAGTTTTAAAATTGGGTTGGTTACGTGAGTGACCCTCTTTACAATTGTCACAACTTAAAATGGCAATGAGTTGATTCCATTATGGTCCAGGGCTACCTCTTTGTGGGAAACACCCCAGGATGGGATATGTAGTCTTAAGCATCCAAAGTCCCTGGTCAGTGTTCCATGTGCTATATATACAGGTAGTCCTTGACTTACGACAATTGAGCCCCAAAACTTTCCATTGCTAAGTGAGACACTTAAGTGAGTTTTGCCCAATTTTACATTTCTTGCCCCAGTTGTTAAGTGAATCACTTAAGTTATTAAGCTAGTGACACGGTTGTTAAGTGAATCTGGCTTTCCCATTGACAAGCCATGTCGCCAAAGGGGATCACGTTGCCCCGGGACACTGCAACCGTCATAAACATGAATCGGCTACCAAGTGTCTTGATTCTGATCAGGTGACAATGAAGATGTGACAACACTTTTTTCAGTGCCGTTGTAACTCTGAACGGCCACTATAAGTCCAGGACCACCTGTAATTCATTTTGCTCAAGAGCAATGGTTCTCAACCTTTTTAATGCCGCGACCCCCAACCGGTCGTAAGTCGAGGACTACTCAACTGGTGCAGCACCGTTTGCAGAATGGGACTTCTGGCGGGCTCAGCAGGGCAGAGACAGCCTGGACAATTCCTATTGGCTTTTGAAAGCCAATAGAATTAGATTCTATTCAAGAGAGTCTATTCTATTGGCTTTCAAAAGCCAATAGAATAAAAGGGAGGAGCACAGCTAAGGAAAAGGGGGTAAAAAATGGCGGACTGCGTTGTTTGGCGACCCCCGTGAAATGGTCCTTCGACCCCAAATGGGGTCCCGACCCACAGGTTGAGAACCACTGCTCAAGAGGGACACATTCAAGAGTTAACACCTTCTCCATGAAGACAGCTGTGTGCAAACAGGCTCTGCTCAGGGCATGTTTCTAATCATGGTTTATTATCAGGTGAAACACGGACAGAACATGCAGTTCATCATAGCAGAAAATCCTATTAATATTTCCAAGTCAAAAAAAACAAAAACAAACCAACCCAGAAGCCAGGAAAAAACCAAGATACCTTTTTCCGTCCTCATCATACCGAATACACGGAACTCCCGAAGAGCCAGCAACCTCCAGAATTCCTTCAGCCCCTCTTGTGATGCAGCTGCTCCCTCAAGACCCGGCAGTCCTCAATGCTCTGGAGAAGAGATCAGATATCAGAAAACATATAAGGAACGGTTGCTAGAATTGGGTATGTCTAGTTTAACGAAGAGAAGGACAAGGGGGGACATGATAGCAGTGTTCCAATATCTCAGGGGCTGCCATAAAGAAGAGGGAATCAAGCTATTCTCCAAAGCCCCTGAAGGCAGGAGGACGAGAAGCAATGGGTGGAAACTAATCAAGGAGAGAAGCAACCTAGAACTAAGGAGAAACTTCCTGACAGTGAGAACAATTAACCAGTGGAACAGCCTGCCTCCAGAAGCAGTAAATGCTCCAACACTGGAAGTTTTTAAGAAGAGACTGGACAGCCATTTGACCGAAATGGTGTAGGGTTTCCTGCCTGAACAGAGGGTTGGACTAGATTACCTCCAAGGTCCCTTCCAACTTTACTACTATTACTATTACTAAAACACCTTCGCTCGATTAAAATCTCCATGCCACCTAAACAGGACCGTACGGCACTCAAGACACCCGGGGGAAGAGGGGGGATGAAATTCTGCTTTGGGTTTTTCTAATTAATTTATTATCCCAGAATTCCACAGCCAGCAACGCTGCTCTAGAGCAGTTTTTTTCCAATTTTGGTGACTTTAAGGGTGGACTTCAACTCCCAGAATTCCCCAGCCAGCATGCTTTAAATTGGGTGGACTTCAACTCCCAGAATTCTCCAGCCAGCAATCTTTAAGATGGGTGGACTTCAACTCCCAGAGCCTGGAGGTTGAGAAACGCTCTCTCTCCTAATTGGTGCAAAAAATACTCCCGCCTCAATTTAAAACAATAATTGGCTTGGCTTCTCAACCAATAGCAAGGCAGACGTCCTTGTTTCCTGCTCCTCCCACCTACTTCCGCGAGTGCTGTTTTGGTCTTGCTTAATCCATTAATAATCTTAATTCTTACCCAAATAGATGAGGAATAAAGAAACCTGGTTTGCAGACCCAGAGGATGTTGGCTTTCCGTAAAGGGACACAACCTCCCCCCCTAAGGAGAGGCCTGCAGAACTGAGACATCATTTTCAGGCTGTAAAGAGCAAAGGAAAAAAGGTTAATGCAGCTCTGAAATATGCCTCATTCGAGCAACGCAATGCATTTTTGTATTGTATTATTGTATTCGTTTTATTACTTTAATATAATCCCCAGTAACACGATTGAAAAAAGGATTTATTTTATTAATTATGTATATTAAATTATGTTTTATAATCTTTATTATAGCCTTAATATACTATATATTTCCCTACACATTATTACAATATAGTTTGCCATACATTTTTATATACTTACTTATCCCTTCCTATAGTTTTTTTAATGGTTTTGTATTTATTTCAGTTTTGTTAACTGTGTATTTTATATTTTGTTCAGCTTTTAAAATTGCTGCTTGCAGTTTGCCTGTGCTGTGCTGGTCTATGTCTAAAGATTTGGTTGAGGATTTGTACCATCCCAAAAGTTCTCGATTCCAATTATAAAGCCGAAAATGGGGTTATTGCACTATAAACTCCAAACTAATGACATTTCTGAGTTTCCACACAAGGCCTGTAAGTCAAGTCTTGCCTGTAAAACTATCTGCAATAGATAAAAAATAAAATAAACCACAATACCATTACAATAAAGCTACAAGAAGGCGGAATTAAAAGGTCCCATACGATCTAAACACAAAAATCCCCAAACTGGGATTTTAAACCCAGATCCGACATTTTAATCCCTGTCCAGGTTTTTAGGTTTAATTTTAAAAATTGAATGAAGTCTTAATTGTTCTATACATTACAGCAAATACCGTAGAATAAATACACTGGATTATATTTACGTATTAAATAATCAAAATAATTTAAAATCTGGGTGGCCATTTGGGCAGAATCTGGGTTTATTTTAGCGTAAAATCTTGGTGTTAGGAAAACCAGCATGGAGTCACTCAAGGCGCCCCGCATGAAACAAACCCCGTCGGAATCATGGCTTAAAAATATACACAGGGTTTAATAATCTGATAACCGTTTGATGGCGGTTTCTTCCTTGCATTGGCTAAAATATTTCCAAGGTTATAATAACCGTGGATGACAAACAGATAATTAAGATTATTAATGGATTAAACAAGGCCGAAACAGCTCCCCTCACCTGCCAGATCTGAAGACCAGCGGAAGTAAGTGGGAGGAGCCGGAAACAAGGACGTCTGCCTTGCTATTGGTTGAGAAGGCAAGCCAATGATTGTTGTAAATTGAGGCGGGAAATTTTTTTTTGGCACCAATTAGGAGAGAGAGACTTAGGCTATTGACAGGGCGAATGTCTTAACTGTAGTATTGAATTATTGAGAGAAATATGCGTGATAAAAAATCTGCATTTTAGAAATAAATGCTGCAAATTGGGTGCCAATGCCAGCCAGATAATTAGCTGGAACCCTCATTGTCCTTGTTTCAGTTTTGCAGTTGGCGTTTTAATAACAATAGATAATAATAGTAGTAGTAAAGTGGGAAGGGACCTTGGAGGTCATCTAGTCCAACCCCCTGCTCGGGCAGGAAACCCTACACCCTTTCGGACAAATGGCTGTCCAGTCTCTTCTTAAAAACTTCCAGTGTTGGAGCGTTCACTGCTTCTGGAGGCAGGTTATTAATATAATAATAAAGTCAGAAGGGACCTTGGAGGTCATCTAGTCCAACCCCCTGCTCAGGCAGGAAACCATTTTGGACAAATGGCTGTCCAGTCTCTTCTTAAAAACTTCCAGTGTTGGAGCATTCACTGCTTCTGGAGGCAGGTTATTAATATAATAATAAAGTCAGAAGGGACCTTGGAGGTCATCTAGTCCAACCCCCTGCTCAGGCAGGAAACCATTTTGGACAAATGGCTGTCCAGTCTCTTCTTAAAAACTTCCAGTGTTGGAGCATTCACTGCTTCTGGAGGCAGGTTATTAATATAATAATAAAGTCAGAAGGGACCTTGGAGGTCATCTAGTCCAACCCCCTGCTCAGGCAGGAAACCATTTTGGACAAATGGCTGTCCAGTCTCTTCTTAAAAACTTCCAGTGTTGGAGCATTTACTGCTTCTGGAGGCAGGTTATTAATATAATAATAAAGTCAGAAGGGACCTTGGAGGTCATCTAGTCCAACCCCCTGCTCAGGCAGGAAACCATTTTGGACAAATGGCTGTCCAGTCTCTTCTTAAAAACTTCCAGTGTTGGAGCATTCACTGCTTCTGGAGGCAGGTTATTAATATAATAATAAAGTCAGAAGGGACCTTGGAGGTCATCTAGTCCAACCCCCTGCTCAGGCAGGAAACCATTTTGGACAAATGGCTGTCCAGTCTCTTCTTAAAAACTTCCAGTGTTGGAGCATTTACCGCTTCTGGAGGCAGGCTGTTCCACTGGTTAATTGTCCTCACTGTCAGGAAGTTTCTCCATAGTTCTAGGTTGCTTCTCTCCTGGAATAGTTTCCACCCGTTGCTTCTAACATTGCAATTAAGTGTCATGTGACAGTAAAAATGAATTTTAACCCCGTAAAATATCAGGAAACCTAACCCACAAAAAAACAAAAGCTGTTTTGGGGGGGGGGTCCCCCATAATTTTCGAAAGAGGGAAGGGGTCCCGCGAGAAGAACGTTTTAAAAAGCGCTGCATTGGGCTAATGGGGAAAGAGGATTTTCAGTGATCAGTTACATAACGATGTGTTTTTATTACTGAGGAGAAAATTATTCTGCTCTCCATCTTTCTTCCCTTCCTTCTGTCCACTTCCCTCCTTCCTTTCTCCCTCCATTCCTTGCCCCTTCCTTCCTTCTTCGTCTTTTCCTTCCTTCCACCCTCCCTCCCTTTTTCTTTTCTTCCTTCCTTCTCTCCCTCCCTTTTCCTCTCCTTCCTTCCTTTCCGCTCCCTCCCCTTTCTCCCTCCATCCCTTTTTCCTTCCTTTCTTCCTTTTCTTTCTTCTTTCCATTTTTCCTCTGCTTGTCTTCCTTCCTCCCTCCCTCCCTTTTTCCTCTCTTCCTCCCTTCCTTTTGTCTTCCTTCCCTCCCTTCCCTTTTTTCCTCTATTTATCCTCCTTTTTCATCTTTCCTCTTTCTCTCCTTCCTGCCTTCTTTCCTTCATCCCTCCCTCCTTTTTTTCTTCCTTCCTTCCCTCCCTTTCTCCCTCTCTTTTTCTTTCCTTCCTTCGTTCCTTCCTTCCACCTCCCTCCCCTTCCTTCCTCCCCTTTCTCCCTCCATCCCTTTTTCCTTCCTTCCTTTTCTTTCTTCTTTCCTTTTTTCCTCTGCTTGTCTTCCTCCCTCGCTCCCTTTTTCCGTCCTTCCTTCCTCCCTCCCTTTTCTCTTCCTTCCTTCCCTCCCTCCCTCCCTCCCTTTTCTTTTCCTTTTTTCTTCTATTTGTCCTCTTTATCTTTCCTCTTTCTCTCCTTCCTTCTTTCCTTCATCCCTCCCTCCTTTTTCTTCCTTCCCTCCCTTTCTCCCTCCCTTTTTCTTTCCTTCCTTCGTTCCTTCCTTCCACCTCCCTCCCCTTCCTTTCTTCCCTTTTCCCTCTGTTATGTGCTCCTGGCTACTTTCCTTCGTGACCAGAGGCAAGCTCGCCTGACCAATAACCAGCCAAGACACAGTGAAGGCCTTTTGTTTCGTTTATTGCAATAAGCGGGGAGAGAAGCTTTCAAAGCTTGTTTCTCTCCAAAGTTTTAACCCAAAATATCTCCTTCTTTTATTCATCCCTATCACCGGCCGCTACAGCCCTCCTCTTTCCCCATTGGCTGAGGTAGGATGAGGTTACACTCTTTCCGTCCGCCTATACACATTTCCTGATAACATACTAAAGCATATTCACATATACAATAAGAATAAGAAAAATTAGACATGGAAATGGTTATTTTAAACTCAGATATATTTATGTCCCCATTTAAAACAATAAGTTCCTGCTTTTCAATTCAATGTGCCTCTCTTCTTATCTTATTCAGCTTATTTTCCTTATTCTCCATTCAGCCTTCCTGGCTAGCCATTTCCTTTAAAAACAATTATTTATCCATTTTATGACTTTCCTCTTCCTTTCTCAGACCCCAACTATTTTTACCTATATGGTTATCTTACTTCCTTAATCTCTTTCTGACTCTCACCATCTGTATTTTTAACTGACTGAAGATTTATCATATTGATGTATATTTATCACCTCCATCCCTTTTTCCTTCCTTCCTTCCTTCCTTTTCTTTCTTTTCCTTCCTTTTTCCCCTTCCTTCCTTCCTTCTCTTCCTTTTCCTTCCTTTTTCCCCTTCCTTCCTTCCTTTTGTTTCTTTTCCTTCCTTTTTCCTCTGCTTGTCTTCCTTCCTTCCTTCCTTCCTTCCTTTTCTTTTCCTTCCTTTTTCCTCTGCTTGTCTTCCTTCCTTCCTTCTCTTCCTTTTCCTTCCTTTTTCCCCTCCCTTCCTTCCTTTTCTTTCCTTTTTCCTCTGCTTGTCTTCCTTCCTTCCTTCCTTCCTTCCTTTTCTTTTCCTTCCTTTTTCCTCTGCTTGTCTTCCTTCCTTCCTTCCTTCTCTTCCTTTTCCTTCCTTTTTCCCCTTCCTTCCTTTTCTTTCTTTTCCTTCCTTTTTCCTCTGCTTGTCTTCCTTCCTTCCTTCCTTCCTTTTCTTTTCCTTCCTTTTTCCTCTGCTTGCCTTCCTTCCTTCCTTCCTTCCTTCCTTCCTTCCTTCCTTCCTTCCTTCCTTCCTTCCTTCCTTCCTTCCTTTTTCCTCTGCTTGTCTTCCTTCCTTCCTTCCTTCCCCAGAAGAACCGAAAAGGAATGGAAAGCAACCTGGGACCCTCCCACCAGCCGGATTGGCTCCTTGTCCCGTGACGTCATTCCGTCCGCGGGAGACGATTGGCCCTCCTTGCCTAGGGCCAGCATGGGGAGAGGGCGGGGCGGCCAGCTGTCAGGCTCCCCGGCCAGGCGCTCTGCGGGACAGGTGCGCCTCCTGGCATCCTCCGCACAGGTGAGCCTCCGAGGGGAAGAGACGGGGGGGGGGCGAATCCTCCCTGGGGCAAGAGAGGCGGGAGGACCCCTCCGAAAGGGGGACGGGGTCTGCCAGGCTCAAGAGGGAAGCCTTTGGGTCCCCGAAATGCAGCAGCCTTGGCCTGCCCGGGCAGAGGGAATTCTCCTTTTTCTCCCTTTGCTTCACCTGCAGCTCACCTTGAAGGAGCCTCACGCAGGGCGCCTTTGTGGAGGGGAGGGAGGCAGCCTAGGGTTGAAGGGGGGGCCATTCTGTCAATCAGATCCCTTGGCGGGGCTGTCAGATACCATGCCCAGCTTTGGGTGGGATATTTCACGCTTGCATGTCTTGCCTCCTGCCTGCAAGATGCAAGCTGCATGCTTAAGGGGGGGGGGGTCTGGCTGTGTACAACGTGCAGTTTTGTGCACCAAATGCATCCCATTGGGTGCAGAATCTGATCAGCACGTGGAGGTAAAGTGGAATAAAATAGAATAACATAGAATAAAACAGCAGTTCTCCACCTGTGGGTTAGGGCAAATGGCAAATGGTGATCCCAGGATCATGGCTATTTAATTTATGCTGCAGTGGTCATAAATATATGTCTGAATTTTGACCTTGGTCATAAGTCTTTATAAGAAGAGTGCTATTCCAAAATGCAAAACAGGTTGTGCAATTGTACGGCAATCCCACACAGGAATGCTTGGACACACCCATGGATGAAAACACGAGAGCTGCATTCTGAAAAGCTCATCCTGCACAGGACGGTAGTCCTCGACATACGACACAATTGAGCCCAACTTCTCTGTTGCTAAGTGAGACAAGTTGCTGACGCTAAGTAACAGGTTGGACTAGAAAATCTCAAAGGACCTTCCCAATTATGGTATAGGAAGCCTCGACTTAAAACCACAACTGAGCCCAAAATCTCTGTTGTTAAGCAAAGAAATTTGTTAAATGAGTTTTGTCCCATTTCATGACCTTTCTTGCCACAGTTGTTAAGTGAACCACTGCAGTAGATAAGTGAGCAGTCTGTAATTTGTATCTTTCTTATATTTTCTTTCTATAATTCCCAATAAAAAGAATTCTGGTTTGGCCTCTATATAATGATAATAATAATAATAATAGTAAAGTTGGAAGGGACCTTGGAGGTCATCTAGTCCAACCCCCTGCTCAGGCAGGAAACCCTATACCATTTCGGACAAATGGCTGCCCAGTCTCTTCTTAAAAACTTCCAGTGTTG